GTTGACTAAAATTTTTCCAGGAGACCAAAGGACCAAAAAATAAATTAATAAATAAAAATCCATGATGGAAAAGAAATGTCCCAAGTCCTAAATGCACAAATAATTATGTGTATAGTAAAAACTACCTTCCTTTAGAGGAAAAGATCAGTGGGACAGAGGTTGGAAGGAACGTGAGGATCCATCTAGGTTGGAATTCCTAGTGTGGCTGAAGGGGAGATCCTGCCTCTCATTCTCTCCCACCCCCCGCAGTGTAGAACATATATTTCTTTTTTATTATTATCTTATTTTATTTAAATTCAATTACTTATCATTAGTTTCAGATGTAGAGTTCATATTCATCATTTGCATATAACACCCAGTGCTCATTATATCACATGCCCTCCTTAATGCCCATCACCCAGTTACCCCCTTTCCCCACCCACCTCTCCTCCAGTAACCCTCAGTTTGTTTCCTCTTTCTAGGTCGTTTGTCCCAGAGTGATTCTCCTAAGTCACCCTTGGCCTACTATCTGCTTGGGAAAATGGAAGTGATCATCACAGAGAGGCTGAGGAAGCCAGTGGCATTGACTGACTCAGTCTCATCCCTTGAAAGAGACCAACCCTCAATAAGAAACTACCTCTATGTGCTTGGAGGGATCTCTCTTGGGTGTTTAATACCTCTCTTTCAGTTCTGACTCCACCTCTTGTTGTGGGATTTTCGAAAAGTTAAACCTAAATCTCACCCCTGCAGCCCCAGCCCTTGCCACAAGCCACTATGAGTATCTTCTACATTGGGTTATTGTAAATGTTAAAATAAGATAATCCAAGAAAACTACCTGGCACATAATAAGTGCTCCCCAAATCTCCTCCACCTCCTTCTTCTCTAAAAAAGTAAAGAGTGTCTTGGCTTCTATTATGTCATTGATTAACAGTGAGAAAACTATGCATCCATTATTTGCAAACAAATAAAGCACTTTTGGGGCAAGACTTTTAGGAAGGCAAAGGAATACTACTGAAGTTAAAAATAAATAATTTCTTGTCTTTACTTCTCTTCTCTACTAACAATTGCTAATAATGCTTGCTGCCCTCATGGGATGTTCTAAGGATAAAGCAAGGGATGAAGTGAAGTATTCAGAACACTGTCTGCCCAAAGGAGGTATGTGATGAATGCTGGCTACTTTTATTATTTTCTAACATCCTTCTCTTGTGCTGTGTGAATTTTCAGTTGATTATTTAAATTCCTTGCTTGCTTTCCACATTAAAAAATGGTTTTATTTATATGCATGTGAGCTATAACAAGAAACTGAATGGGATAGTTTGGGGAGGGCATATAGACATAATTATTTAAAGTAACTGGGATTTTTCCTTTGTGGGTGACAAGTAAATAGATTCTGTTTCATCCATTTCACAAAAAGGAATTTGTTTTATATTTATTAGAATGTTAGAGTTTAGGAAGAAAACCAACCACTAATAGAAACATGCAAGTCAAACCTGGCTTTGCGGGGACATAGCCTTTTTTTCCCTTGAATATACACATATATTTTGAGTTTAAGTTAAAAAAATAAATCACACAGACAGTGAAATAAATGTGCATGTGGAAGGAAGGTGAATGAGAGATGAAGGGTATGCTTATAATCTCCCCTGACATGATAGTCATGAGTACAGATGTACTATGAGATCAAGCCGATATCTGGCAAGTCATGACCTCTTGTAAGTTACAACTTAAACAAATATTGGAAACAAATTAAAATAAGTAAACATGGGAAAGTGTTATGCAAATAGGTAATCAACAAATGGCAGTATTTGAAAATATAACAGACACTAGAAGAGAGAGTTGATCTTTATATTTTTTATTTATAAAAGTAACACTTTCTTCTTTTGATGAAGTGGTATAGAAATATATGAAATAAAAAGTGCAAATTCTCATCCATCTGCCTCTTTGTCTCAACCATTTCCCAGAGGTAATGTCAAGATACTGACTGTGGAAAAGTTAGTGACAGTATGCTAGATCAGGCATCATTTTGGGTATATTTTACATTAAATTTTTTTAGCATGGAAAGTTTTAAACATATAATAGTAAAGAGAAATGAAATGAAATGAAATGAACCCATATTTGATGAGAAATGAAATGAAATGAAATGAACCCACAATTATTAAATTTTTGCTAGTCTTCATTTTTACTTTTTAACATACAAAGTCCAAAATGTTTATAGTGATGGAACCAAATTTGGCAACATGGAGTATAATTTATGTAGCATGCTTTGGTGATATGAACAATGTATATTCTGCGTGCATGAAACCCAAAGAAGTAGCTAGAATATAGAGCACTCTGTGACTGAGTTAAAGTTGCCCTAGATGGAGCTACGTGATGACAGCTCATTTCTGCTCATATTGCCTTTATTTTCAGCATTGTAACTGTAGTCTCTATTATAGTGCCTAGCACATAATAGGTGCTCAAAAACTGCTATTGAATGAGTGAGCCTTATTTGCAGTGTAGAACTCTGTAGCACAAAGGCGGCCACATACTGTGTGTAGCATGACTGATCTTCATAGAATGCTTCCCATGTATTAGATGCTTACTAGGTACTAAGTGTGCTCACCAGCTGTTGGGTCCTATTCTAAGTGCCTTACGTGAAATAACTCATTTAATTCTTACAAAAAACCCTATGAAGTAGGTACTATTATCATCTTTTGTGTCTCATAGGTATGCAACCAATAAATGGGTCAGGATCACATGGATAGTAAGGGGTAGATCTGAGGGTTAAGCCCAGGTTGTGTGGTCCCAGAGTCTGTGGTACTCTTTGCTGCTTCACCCGCAAATGTGTCTGAATCCCATCTCTGGAACACTAAACACACTTGGGCACTTTGATAGGTTGTGGTTGTACCTGTACTGCAGGATTAAGTCACAAAATCACTTCAGTGGTGCCAGATAATGGGAGGGTGTTGCCCATAGACCAGGCGTTTTTCAAAAAACAGACTTTGTCATTTTTCATGAACATAAGGCACTTCTAAGTACTGTGTGGGAGGGAATGTGGTAGACTGATTTCATTGAGACCCTGCCAAATTCTGGTCTTGTGGCCATCAAAGACGCATCATTTCCTCCAAGACTTCTAAAGGGGGCTATTACCACAGCCCTGCAGGTTCTGGTTTGCATTTGGAGGAGACACTATCTTCCTAAGTGAGACCTGGAAGAGGAAGTGTCATGAATTGTAAATAAGCCTGAGAAAAAAAGAATTGTTTGGAGATGGAAATGGAAATGGAGTAAAATGGCCTTTTCCAAGCCAGGTTCCAACCCCCTTCCCCATGTCCAGCTTTGCCAGAGCCTGTCCTGTTTTATTTGCTAAGTTTATTCGCAGGAAGAGAGGAGTTTCTTTAAGGAGATCTGTGCCTCTTCCCAATAAATATCTCCTGGATCAAATATTAGTACATACATCTCTACTGGGAAACATCATGCCACTATTCAAAAGAATAAGATGGAACCTTACGGGTTGATGTAGAATGATCTTCAAGTTGTATTATATTTTAAAAAAGATTTTATTTATTTATTTAAGAGAGAGAGAGAGAGAGAGAGAGAGAGAGAGAATGAGCAGGGGAGAGGAACAGAGGGAGAGGGAGAAGCAGGCTCCCCTTGGGATCATAACCTGAGCCAAAGGCAGATGCTTAATGAACTGAGCCACCTAGACATCCCTCAAGTTATATTTTAAAGTAAAAAAAGCCAACACACAATACTTATACCCAGGCCACCCTTGGTGATCTTAAACATAGAAAAAAAAAGCAATACTTCACAGGAAGAGGGGTTAGGCCTAGCTGCAGAAATAATAATTCTACCTCCTCATCTCCATGAAGGATGATCCTTTAAGACAGAGAGATCTGCAAGATCCTTATTTAAAGAAGTTAGGGGAATTTGGTGTCCCTCTCTAGGTGGGGAGAAATGGAGAGAAAAGAAGGGGGAAAAAAAGCATCTAAAGGACCTGAATTCTCCAAACAGCTCCATGAGGAGTCTACACATGCAGAGAGATAGCTGTGAGGTTTGGTACGGAGTGTTCTGTGTGCCCTGGGTCTGATCCCAGAACATTTGCTTCATTGCATCTCCAGTGAAGCCGGCCTGCTTTGCCTCAGCCTGAGGGTATCTTGTCTGGGAGCTCAGTTCTGAAAAGGGACCTGGTCAAAAGCTCAGGAAGAGTCAAGTAGGGGCTCCTTGTCAGATAACAAGGTGGACAAAAGCCCCTTGTCAAGGAGAGAGCCTCACTCGGACGGGTGGCTCTCACAATGCAGGTGTGCTAGAGCCCTGGGTGCCTACAGCTCCCTGCTGTAGGTTTTTGGTGAAAGCCCGGTAAAGGGTCTCAAATTTAAGTGCCTTTGGGGACTAGGCTGGTAACCTAAAAACATTTGAAGATGCCAGGTGTAAGAGGAAATAGGAAAGAGGAAACACTTTGGAGAACTTAGCATGTGTATATTCTAACTAAAGACATTCAGAGTCGGATTTTTAAACTATAGTTTTTTTCTAGCCAAGCAAACCAGGCTGCAGTCACCGCGGGTTTGCGATCCTGCATTCTCCTGGGCTCAGGAGAATGGTCCCTGGTCGCTTCAACCTTCTGCTGATCCACGGTGTGTCCCCCAGCCACTTCAGGAACGCGCGGGCGCCAAAGACGGTCGCAAATTTCGGTACTCCTGAAGGCTCCGCGTCCCTCGCCGGCACTGGCAGCGCTGTCCCCTGCTTCCATATCACCCAGTCCCCACCCGCCTCTCGGAGGTCCCCAGCCTACTGAAGCTCGGAGTGTTTCGGAAGCCCTTACGGGAGTTGGTGCGCCTGGGACGTTTCGGGGCCACATGCAGTCCCAGGCAAGCAGGGAGACCGGGACACCTAATCCGCACGGGAAGCAGCGGGTCCCGGCCTGGTACCCGGCTGAGAGGCGGGGCCGGCGGCCGAGGGGAACCCCGCCCCGGCCCCGCCCCCCACAGTCCCGCCCCCAAGCTCTAGAGTTTCGGCTTCCAGCTCTCGCAAGGCACTAAGTCCCGGGACCCCGGGAGAGCTGGCGGTGGGTGGTTGTGTTTCTTCTGCCCGCTCAGAGCATCACTTGCGCGCTGCCGAAAGCCGGGAGCGGTTGCGCAGCGGGGATTTCCTGTCCTCCCGGCCCCCGCGGACACTCCTGCAAGCCGTGACCGGAGCCAGGGCACCCTCCCCTTTGCGCCCACAGTCCTGCACTACGGCGCCCGTTCCACCTCCGCGCCTTCTTCGCGGGACAGGCCCAGGGAGAAAGAACCGGCGCCCGGGTCCTGGGCACTGCGCCCGGCGCGAGGTGCGGGATGGAGAGCAAGGCGCTGCTGGCCATCGCTCTGTGGCTCTGCGTGGAGACCAGGGCTGCCTCAGTGGGTAAGGAGCCCACTCCCTAGAAGGCAGGCGGAAAGGTCGGGTGCGGGCGGAGAGATGGGGGGATGCGGATAGGTCCTGGAGGCCGGATCTTACTCGGAATCAGAGAGCTGGGAAGATGAAAAATGACTTGACACTTTGTGTTTTTTCATTTACCAATGAGGAAACTGAGGCTCTTTGATTGGTTTAAGATTATCCAGAGATTTGGTGGTCTCCCGAGCCCAGTTCCTTTCCCCCCCGCCCCCGGCTCGGGTCTTCCACCGGGCCTCGGCTGGAGCGAGTGCTGCGGGGCCGACACACCCTCAGGCTCTCGAGAGGTCTGGGGTGGGAAGGCAGGCGCCCGGGGTTGGCAGGCAGGAGGTGCCCCCGCAGGCGGGAACAGGCGGTGGAACTTTGTCCCGCTGGTTGCACAGTTCCAGCCCTGGCGCGCGGAAGGACGCCTTGCAGGGAGCGCAAGCAGGTTTGCTCCGCTCGCACGTATCGCGCACTCAGCTCTGCTTCGCAGGAGTCGAGCGGACCCCGGGTGTGCTGTTCCCTTCTGGTCGGAACCCACAAACATACCCACTGTATGAGGTGCAGTTCAGGGAAACTTTTTTCCCTTCTTTGGTGCAAGATGCTACTTCCCTTGCAGAGAGAAGGTGAAATTGGGCTCCGAGCCGGGGTTGTGACAGCCTCCCCAAATGTCTCAAAGTTAACAGTCATCTTTCAAAGCTTTGGTCCTTGGGATAAGCGCATGGTCAGAAGTTCACGTTCTGAAAACTTACTCTGCGGGACTAGGTAGCTAGATTTAGCTCCACTCCGCGCTTTCCTTGCCACGTATATTTCAGACTCCTTCAGGACTAAGAACACCCATGCTCTTGATGCAATCAATGTCTGCCTTTCTCCGCTTTCCTCGCCCGACGCCCCCTTCTCATATCTCTTTTCTGTAGCCACAGTTTGTTGATTTCCAGATTTCCACTCTTTGGAGGGTGAGGAAGGGGAGAAGGTGGAGGGGAAAACAAGTCAAATAATTCAGAGAGAAATTCCTTATATTGAAATGAAAGAATCACATGTCTTAAAAAAAAAGACACTCATATACAGTAACAAGATCATCTGTCTATAGTTATTAAATTTTCTTAATAATGACTTGTTTCATCAGGGCCAGCTCCACCAGGGACGCTCATTTGTCCCTGACAAGACCTCTCTCTCCCCCTTTATGGTCTGGAACATGTGGTTGTTCTGTATCCCACAAAGAAGTGAGTTGCTTCTAAGCCTGGGGTGTTTCATAGCGCAGCATTAGTAACTGTAATCGGGTTGTCCTGAATATAATGATGAGGTTGCCCTTTTGGAGTGTGTGACTTGCTTAATTGGATTGGGCTGTAATTGGTGCCATCAAATTCTAGAGACAGAGGCACTGTTGTTTTTCCTTCCTGTCTTTGAGCTGGAAGGGTAATAGTGCACAAATTAATTAATTTTGGTTAGGGAATTTGAACATAGAAGGGCTTTTTATTGAGTAGCAGCATATGTGCTTCTTATAGTTATTTCTTTAGAATTTTCCGAAGAGTAGAACTTAAACTTGCCAATGAAAATGAATGAAGCTTAATGGAGCAAAACAAAATTGTTGGTTGGTCTACAGATAGGAATTTGAAGATATCATTATTGATAAAACCTTGTTGAAAAGATTTTTGTTGTATACATGTCTCTAGAATAGTATGGTACTGTCGTAGCTTCCTATGAATGGAGAACATATCTTTAATTAATCTTTTGAACATAAGAAAGTGTGTCTAGAGTATGAGATAATCTGTGATAATCATTTAAGAGAGATCTTCAAGAACCTCTTATTTTGGTGGTAGGATGAACATGGCTTATTTAGAGCCTTTTTTTTTTTTTTAACTACCATTTTCTTTCTCACGTAAGTGTGCCTGAATAATTAAGTTCCTTCTCATTTGGATCATTGTACACATTGTGTTAAGTTACTGTTTTCAGTGTGTTTCTTAACGTAGTGTTTCCCAGACAGGTTTGATACTTGTACTCATCCAAATGAGTTGTTTTCATTTTCCTTTTCTTAAAGTGAGACTCCATCATTAAAAGTCTTTTCTATTGCTTTTAAACGCTTCACTTGATTGTTTATCTACTTTGGGTGCAGTTATTTCCTCCCATATTGGAAAAGTGCTGTGCTAAGTAACTGAACTGATAAGCCAGGTCAATAGCTGTCCAAGAGTGTCCTATGACTGTGGGTGATCGAGTCATCGAAATATTTGTGAAAATGCAGATTTGTAGGGCTCAGGATATCTTACACATCCTAAAGTTTAAGAATTACTAGCCCAAACACAAATCAGTACCAATACCAATTAGTTTCTGAGATTTATTGATATAACTTAATTTCTAGGTTTTTTTTTCTTAAAAAAAACCCCCTATGATATTGATCAACACATCTACAGGTGTGTCAGCAACCTACTTTGCACATCTGGGTGAGCATGTAGGAATAGGTGTGAGCAGTTATTCATTTTGTCTGCAGCTGTTCACACTGAGGTCCACAGATTCAATATACAGGATATTTGCACTGGATATTTGCTCACTCTCTTTACTCATACTTTTTCATATTTGCCAATACTGTCTTATTTACCCACCAAGATCAGTGCCAGTTTAGGTCTTGAGAGTCAGTGGTTCTTTTTTAAAATGTTTTTATTTACTTATTTTTAAAATTCTAGTGTACTTAATATACAGCGTTCTATTAGTTTTGGGTCTACAATATAGTGATTCATCAGTTCTATACATTACTTAGTTCTCATCATGATACTTGTGCTCTTAATCTGCACCCCCCATATCACCCATCCCCTCACCCACCTCTCCTCCGGTAACCATCAGCTTGTTCTCTATATTTAAGAGTCTGTTTTTTATTTGTTTATTTGTTTCTTAAATTCCACAAATGAGCGAAATCTTCGGTATTTGTCTTTCTCTGACTTACGTACTTTGTTTAGAATAATACTCTCTAGCTCCATCTGCATGGTTGCAAAATGGCGAAGTTTCATTCTTTTTTATGGCTGAGTAATATCCCATGACATCTACATCTTTCTTATCTACTCATCTATTGATGGACAGACACTAGGTTACTTCCATATCTTGGCTAGTGTAAATAATGCTGCGATAAATACAGGGGTGCATGTATCTTTCTGAATTAGTGTTTCCATTTTCTTTGGGTAGAGAATCATTTGTTCTTAGTTGATGTGAGTTAAGGATCATATGAAACCTGCATGCTTACCCAGCATCCATCACTTTTTAAGGTGGTGTTTTGGAGATCTTGTTATTGAGGCCCTAGCATAACAGACAGTTTTTCTTTCTCTGATAGATTTTCATCATTTACTAGCTCTTTGCTTGTAGTTCACAAAGAACTCTGTTTTCTTGCTGGGGAGTGATCCATGGTGAGGAATCTGTCCTGTGGTATTTTTAGGTAAAGGCAGCTTCTTGTATCCTAAGCTTGATATCAGGAAGAGCTCAGAGCTTTGATTAATAACTTGAGATTCCCCAATTTTAATTCGTTAGTATTACACTTTTTTAGTTTCATTCTCTAAGGAAAAGTGTATTAATAGGTGTATGATATGGACACTGGCAAATGTACCCCCCCCAACCCGGCCCAGTTCCTCTCACCTAGTTTTAATGTACAGTTTTCCAACTTTGGCAGTTCAGTTACCAGAGGAAATGCACTAGAAAATTGATAAAGGAAAATGAGACAATGTCATGGGCCCTCCTCCCCCCTTCAGGGTACATAGATGAACTGTATAGAAATCTCTCTTAGTGGTATTCATTAATCAGCAATTTAGTCAACTGTGTGCATCCTATGCTTTATAAGAAATGTCAGTGGGTCCTTTCCCAAGGGAGTGAGATCATCAGATGAAGGTTCATTTGGTTTCAATGTCCTATATCCTTTTGTAAGACCTTGAAGTTGGCAATGCAGGAAAACAGGAACTCCACCCTAGCTCCATGAATTGCAGAACTTTTGTGTTGGTTTATGACCATCTGCCCATTCTTCCTGTTATGACACAGTTTGTGAACTTTTACTGGGAATGGTGAAAAGTAAATTCATAGTTTTACACAATGAATTGCTGAAGAGGCCTTTTAAAGTATAGAGTGTGCATTGTTTATGGAAGGTGTTTCCTATTGGGTCTGACTCAGTGGCAACAATATTCATTTATTTAATTTGTTTCTAGGTTTGCCTAGTGTTTCCCCTGATCCACCCAGACTCAGCATACAGAAAGACATACTTACAATTATGGCTAATACAACTCTTCAGATTACTTGCAGGTAAGGATTCATTTTACATTCAGATTTCCTATGTTAAGTAACTCCTAGTTTATTGAGGGAAAATTAATCTACATAAGCAGAATTGTAGTAGAGTTGTAGTAATTGTAAGTAGTGAGGTTTTTAATAAATGATTTAATAATGAAAAATGAGAAAGTTCTTCTTTCAGAAATTTTGTATGATTTTTCTGGAATTGTTTTCCTGCTCCTCTCTGCCTCCCCCCCAGAATAAATAGTAGACATTTGATAAATATTGAATAAATAAGTGAAATTGAGGATTTTCCTTCTTACCTTTAAGGGATGGAGTTGAAGGAGTTTGGGACCATATTTGTTATAATCAGAATGGCTCTTGGACATTTGTTTAGCCCTTGCCAGGAATTTTACTTTCTGATGAAATTATGACTGTGGTAGCAGTTTGATATTCGGCCATTAATATTACTGAGTGCATGTTCTGCACAGGTAATGGACTTCATGCTTCGACTTGATGTTCTGGAATTTTGCTAGCAAGATTTGCTAGCAAGAAGTCGTGCTATTGATTTTTTTGCTAACTGGGGAAGCCAAGTTCTTTGAAAGGGAGAACCATTTAGATTTTGTGTCATAGCCCCAACCCCCAAAGGAAATATAGAAGACTTGGGGGTTTAATGCAGTGACCTGGAGACTTCTCAGGAACCTCTCAGTGTGTCTTTGGCAAAGATGTGGGGAGGTGATATTGCCCTCTTATAAGAGAGCCAGGGGTCCACAGAGAACCTTGGTCAGCTTACTGCCATTGCTTACACTTGATGAACACCAGTGGTCAACATGACACAGATCTATTTCAGACTGTAGACTGCAAAGGATATTCTCATCCCCTTATCAAGGGTAGGTAACCCATATCCAGCCCTTGGGAAAAGACATAGTAATTGTGCTATTTCTCCAGCTTTGATATCTCAAGACACATTTCTTAGTGGATTTTCCTCTTACCCATCTTCAATAACAGAGGGTATTTAAAATCTCCAAAGATCCCATACTTCCTTTTAAAACTCATTGAAAAGAATTTTTTAGGTCCTGGAAAAGCCATGGAGTGTGTTAAGGTAACTTTGCTCATGTAGCTGCAACTTTGTGGAAAGTTCAGATTCTTTGAAAGAAGTATCAATGATGTTGCCTTTTTTTTTTTTTTTTTTTTAATGTGGACTATCTTTCTTAGGGCTTTGCAGGGAAATGCTGCAATGAAAGTAATCTTTGTTTGAATGCAGTCTGTATAAGATTCTGTGAGGCTCTGAAACAATTGCGCCCTCTTCCTTCTCAATCTCACTTCTCATTTTCCTGCCTGCCACTGTTACCTGACTACTCTGGCTTCCTTGACATTCCCCTGATACTCCAGATACTCCTGTCCCAAGGCCCTTACATTTTCTGTTCCCTCTGTCTGGAATACTGTTGTTCCCTGTGTTTATATGGCTTCATCAAGCCCCCTCCCTCCAGAACTCTTTACTCTTTGCATATTCTATATTTTCTCCACAGTACTTATCACCACCTTACACTTTACTTACACCATAAATTTTACTAAAAAAAATTCAGCTTCATTGAGGTTTACTTACTATTTCATTGCCTGTTTCTTTTAACTAGACTGACGTTCCATAAAGGCATTGGTTTTTGTCTGATTTGTTCATTGTTGTGTCCCCAGACTTTAACAACACTTGGCACATAGCACCCGCTTAAGAAATATTTGTTGAGTGAATAAGTTAATTAATAGAAAACTCAGGAATTCTTATAAGTGGTGTCTGAAGCTGAGTTTATGGCTTTTTGTCATTTGCCCATTCAGTCTGTCATTGGTAGAAGGCTGTGAATCTATCTGTTGAGTTTATATAAGTTTGAGAAACAAACCTTCTGTTTTCTTAGAAATAGCCTCATAATATGGCATTACCCATGATCACTTGCCTGGAATTAATTTTTCAGTGGAGAGAGGGACTTGGACTGGCTCTGGCCCAACAATCAGAGTGGCTCTGAGAAAAGAGTGGCAGTGACTGAGTGCAAGGACAGCCCCTTCTGTAAGATGCTCACAATCCCAAAAGTGACTGGAAATGATACTGGAGCCTACAAGTGCTTCTACCAGGACACTGACAGGGCCTCAACCATTTATGTCCATGTTCAAGGTAAGTAGTTACATCAAATTCATTTCCTAAGCTGATTTACCAGGTATAAAACACCACAGGCAAGAAGAATCAAGGACAATGGAGTGTGACAAAGGCTCGCTCCAAAGGCTGTTTGCCAACAGGAATACACAAAGTTCTTTTCTCTCAAGGTTTCCTCTGAGAATCAGATTCATTGCTTTGTCCTGCAACTTGGGCCCATTACATCTCTTGCCCAGTTAGTGTGGTTCTGCTCTTTGTTTCTAAGGGAAATCTGTATTCACAATTGGCTATGGGGATTTATAAAAAGCCTTCTGATGTTTGAGAAAAAGAACCTGAAATCCTTGAAAAGGGGGGTTCAGGGGTGCGTTCCAGAGAGGTTTCTGTGGAGAGATAGGTTATCTACAACAGGGTAGGAGATTTTCTCAAGAATGTCCAGGGAAACAGCCAAGGGCTCTGGAGCTTTTATGTACATGAGAACTTTTCTTTTCCGATTTACACTTTGTGAAAAACAATTTCCATCCTCTTGTGCAAATGAAGATACTACCTCAAAGGGCTTTTTGAGGACAGTGTTTCTTTCCTTTGCTTATGTGGTCTGAGGTATTGGATGATATACAACATCTTTCTAGAGTTTGCAATTTGGGATTGACACCATGGAGGTCAATTTAACATCCATGTAGAATAAAACACAATGTTACACGTATCTAATAATACAATATAAATTATTTTCGTTTAGTGTTTCAAAAATCTTATACTATGTTAATTTTCCTGTGGAAACCCGACCTGAATGATGATAGTTATAATTCTGTCATACAATTTTGGGGAATGTTAGTGTTACTAACATTAGTACTAATTAACAGTAATTAGTACTAATTAGTAAGTACTTTGCTTGAGTATACTAAATATTTTTCTTTTCGGTGAAAATGAGCTGTTTAGACATTTTATTTATACATTTGTATAGATTTTTTGCATCCCAGAGGATTTGAGGCAGGTGAAGATGGCTTAGACTTTTTTCCAGAAGCATCTTGGATATCTCCATTTACACATCAATAGTGCAATATGGCCAGTGCTGTGGGAAAATGGAGACTACATCAAAATAACGTATGTCATTCTTGGACTGCACAATATTTGAGACTTTTTTTTGCCCAGGGTGAGCACAGTCCAAGATAAAATTCTGTGCCCTCCTCCTTCCTCTGCAGAATTTGAAAGAGACAAGGCTCAGATCTTCGAGAATTTCTGGCTCCTTTTGATCTGGCAGTCTTGGGAGATCAGGCTTTCTCAGAAGATTGCAAGGATTTCCTGCTTTTAGCCTGTCTGGAAATACTACAAGATGAACCTCTCCCATAGTATCTCGTTATTTCCTTCTCCCCAAGTCAGGAAACCTGAAGACATGTGAAAATTCATTTCAAGAGTTACAGTAAATATTTTATTTTGAGAGGATGGGTGGTTGTTTGGGTTTCTTTTGTTTATTTCCTTTTTTTGGAATACTGAAATAGAACTGATTTACTGAATAGCTTTAGTCTTACGTAAGGGGTTAACTTAGCTTCCAAGGACTTGTTCTGTAAGCAAGCTTGGTAATATTTCATAGTATGTGGATGAAAGTAGGTAATATTCAGAAGTAACAATCCCTGGCACTGTTTATTTATGCATTGCCTGTCTTTGGGTATACCATTAAATTCTGCTTCCTGTCTAAGCCTAATGTTCTAGGAGATGAGCTGTCCAAGATTTTTGTCATGAGGTTTAACAATGAGAAAGAAAGCACTGAAGTATTTCTTATGGATGGCCCTTTAATGTCCCTTCTGGTCCCTACCTTGCTTCCTTAGTCTTCTGACCCCATTCCCTCCAGCAATGGATGGAGCCAGGAAGTGGGTCTTGGCCTCATAAGATAATGGCTATGGCATGTGGTGGGCTGGATTGGCTGCCTTTTTGTGCTTTCCAGCTGGGAAGGAAATCAAACTTCTGCTGTTGCAGGGAATTAGCTGCCTTTCTCCCTTTGGTTTAATTAACTCTTTCTTTACTTTGACCAGACATCCTGAAGAACTCTGGAAATGCTCGATCAGGTGTGTTGGGCATAGCAGTCTGAATCATTATCTCTGTGAGATTTCAAGTACGATTTCACAGTATAGCGATTCTGGGGAGTGGACTATTTTTCCAGAGGTGTATTCACATGTAGGAACAATGTTTGAATGACATTAAAATCTCTTTTGTTTTCTTCTCACTTTTTGCCATGGGGTTTTTTGAGTTTTTATCATTGAAGATTTAATGGTTGCTGAATTTTAAACTGAACTCAAAACCACTGATCATTATTTTATAAAGAATCTCATACCTAGTGCTCACAATCTTAAAATACCCACATCATTTTTTTTCTTGAATAATTGAATCAAAAAGTTATTTTCTGCTTATTTTAAAGATCCTTTGGAATCCATTGCTTTATTTTCATGGCCCTTGGACATTATTTGCTTAAAAAGAGAATATGCTTTTTTTTTAAGCATCAATAAAATTCAGTAGGTAAAGTACAGATTTAACTTCAAAATTAATTTAAAATTTAAAAAATTACTTTAAATTAATGTACTTGAAAAATATTTAGTGTCTATGAAGAATATATATGTATATATGAAAATGTATATGAAAAATGAAGTACGCTCCTTCATTTTGAAAAAAATTATAATGATCCATCTGTTTAAATGTGAAACCTATAAAATATATTCTACTTGTTGATGATCCTAATGAAAGGAGTCAATTTCATTCTAGGGGTTTTCTTTCAGATTTTCACACACACACACACACACACACACACACACATACACACACACACCCTTTCTGCAGCATATCTTTGGAGCCAGAGATCTACCAGCGGACCATTCTGTGGATTCCTTTGCCTGCTGTGAAATGTCATTCTCAATCATTTGCTTCTCTGGGTAGAGTTTATGAACTGGAAGCAAAATCAACTTTTCAGTAAATGCCATTAACTAAGGGAATTAATTTTTCTTCCAGATTACAGATCTCCATTTATTGCTTCTGTTAGTGACCAACATGAAGTTGTTTACATCACTGAGAAGAAAAACAAAACTGTGGTGATTCCATGTCTTGGGTCCATTTCCAACCTCAATGTATCACTTTGTGCAGTAAGTTACATCTTTTTCAATCATTTCTCATGTTTTCATAAGGTTAAGGTGGGTAGCCTATATGTAATATATTATCAGCCGTATGTTTTAAAGATCCTCTGGGAAGGGTCAAAATGATAATAAAACTAGTTTATATTCTTTAGTGATGAATTCTTTAGTGATCATTTTACATGATTTTCACTTTTGGATAGCACTTTATTCAATATTTGATATTTCTTTTCTACCCAGAGGTATCCAGAAAAGAGGTTTGTTCCTGATGGTAACAGAATTTCCTGGGACAGTAAGAAAGGCTTTATTATCCCCAGCTACATGATCAGCTATGCTGGCATGGTCTTCTGTGAAGCAAAAATTAATGATGAAAGTTACCAGTCTATTATGTACATAGTTGTGGTTGTAGGTAAGTGGACAGTTTCTTTCTGTATCATTAAATCAGACATTAAAGACTAGCTTCCTATATTAAGATCCTGGAGATTAAGGTACTGGGTGAAGGACAAAGGATACTGAAAAATATATTAATTCAAGATCTAGTGTGGGGCAATCTGTTACATCTACTCTTCTCTGCTAAATAAACCTCTGCACAATTGAGTTTTTCTATTTTCTTGCCAAAAGCAAGGATGGAAATGAGTGTTATTATTGGAGCATATTTTATGGAAAATTCAATGTTAAGAACATTGCTTGGCATCAGTTCTTTTAATTATACCTATTTTATGGAAAGCTCTATAATTTACTAAGGATGGCTTTGTTGGCTATTGAGTATTCACAAATGCTGCTTTCCTAGCCACTGAGCTACATCTTTGAGATGTAGTTTTGCTTTGTAAGTCTCTATAGTTTTGCTTTGTAAGTCTCTGTAGTTTTGCTTTGTAAGTCTCTGTAGTTTTGCTTTGTACGTCTCTGTAGGCCACTTTGCTGGGAAGTACCAAGTATTGGTGAGGCCCTCAGGGAAAAAAGATGTGGCACATTTTGAAGTTGCATCATTTTTGAAAAAATACATGCTAAGTTATAGATTTGTTTTCTCTTTCTCTGTGTTTTCAATTTCCTTGCTCTAGGGTATAAGATTTATGATGTGGTTGTCAGCCCCCCTCTTGAAATTGAGCTGTCTGTTGGAGAGAGGCTTGTCTTAAACTGTACTGCAAGGACTGAACTAAATGTGGGGATTGATTTCAACTGGGAATACCCTTCTTCGAAGGTAACACTAACAATGCAAAGCCAGGCCTCTCAATACTTTGATAATAAGTGCAGTGGAGTTGGCTTGAGAGATAGGGACCTCTCTGGCCAGATAAAATGTAAGGCCCTTAACTCTCTCTCTCTCTCTCTCTCTCTCACACACACACACACACACAGTTTAAAAGAACCAAAGAACATATAGCATCCATGGAAAACGAATGCAATGCCAAGAACTTGGTTCCACTCTGCTACCATCAGGCTGTGAAGATGAATTTCCTCTAGGTTACATCTTTTCAGGTTGCATTATTTCTCTGTGGTCCAAAGTCTTTGTTCTGTTTTCCCTCTAAGGGAATTTGTCTTCAAGAGAGGGCATAAAACCCACTTCTCCTTAAGCAGTGGTCATATTTGCTTGTGTTTCTTCAGTACATATCCATCTCATCTTTAAAAACCTTAATTCAATTGGTTCCATTTATTTCTCCTGAAACCAAATATATTGGTTGTCTAGATGTTATGAAATGTTCTGAGATCCCTTATTTTTGGCGTGAATAGTGTTCTCCAAGGGCCAAGGTTTGATCTTGTGGGTATCTAAATGCTACCAGGTAATGTTGTGCTGGACTTTGAAAATTCAGTGAACTTCTTTTTTCAGCATCGGCATAAAAAAGTTGTCATCCGGGACCTAAAAACCCAGTCTGGAAGTGAGATGAAGAAATTTTTGAGCACCTTGACTATAGATGGTGTAACCCGGAGTGACCAAGGACAGTATATCTGTGCAGCTTCCAGTGGGATGATGACCATGAAAAGCAACACGTCAGTCAGGGTCCATGGTAAGCTAAGATCTCCTTCGGAGTTATGCAGTGCCTTGAAAAGTGAGATAATTTAAATAAATTTAGGTTGGCTTTGTTCATTCAGAAGATATTTTTGAGCTCCTGCTTAGGGAGACCATATGACCTAGAGGCCAAAAGCACAATTTGGGTTCAAATCCCAACTTTAATAATGAGGTGAGCTGATACAGTAAGCACTTACTAAGTTTTACTTATTGTCACTTATTGTGATTGTTGTTGATGCTATGATTAGTAGGATAATAAGCAAAGTATTATGATCTAAGATAGTTTTAAAATTTTCATTTTATGGCAAGGCTGAGAGGCCTGTGTTTATTCATGGGCTTTGTAATTGGGGAGGCCTGGATTTAATTACTGTCTTTGGGGCTTTGAACAAATAACTTAAGTTCTTATTTATTCTCTTCCACTTATAATGATGTCACATAATAACTCATAAATATCTCAGTTTAGGTGATAATTCATATGGCACCCAACTTATAGGCCTTGGTAAAGATTTTGGATTTTATAATATGGGAATTCATAGAAGGGTTTGAACAGAGACATGGTCTGGGTTTATGTTTTTGTAGGATTACTATGTATTTTTTGAGAAATGCTTTAGGGAAGTAAGGGCAGAAGTAGGGACACCAGTGGGGGGCTAGTTGCAGGCATCCAGGTGAGAGATGACGAGTGGCTTGGGGAAATGATCTGATTCTGGATATATCTTTGAAGATAGAGCCAGCAGGATCTGCCTTTTGACTCAGTGGCTGTTGGGGGGTGGGGTAAGAGAAAAAGAACAGAAGATGATTTGAATCAATGTGAGCTAGTGAGCGAATGGTGGTTTTATTTACTGAGAGAGGGAAGACTGACAGGAAAGTAAAATTTGGAGAAACAGTGTTAGGTCTGTTTATTTGGACATGCCCACTAAGCATCCAAATAGAGATATTTAATATATACACCTTGAACCCAGAGGAGTCAGAGGAAGAAATACAAGTTTAGTAGTAATGTGGATGGCACTTTATGGCTGAGCCTGGAGGAAGGTGTAGCTAAAGAGAAGTGACTGAGGACTGAGTCCTGGGACGTAGGGATAGGGTCCCATGGGAGTAGACAAGGAGCTTCCTAAGGTCCCTGGAGGACTTGGAGAAGGCTTCCCAGAGGAGCAAACTCTTGAACTGAAACTTGAGCAGTCAGTAGGCTTGCAGTGTGCACCTGGAGGGAGAGGAAAGCAAATTCAGAGGCCAGTTGTGTGGGAGAAGCTGGACCGCGACCAAGGAAAGGAAGTGTGGGGAAATCCCTGCCCCGTGGCAGCTCAGACTCCGCAGATCTTTGACTCTTCACTTGACATGAAAAACTAAACCAAATGACCATTAATAATAAGGTGACATTTATGAGAATAACTATTTTTATTTTCTTCCAGAAAAACCTTTTATTGCTTTTGATAGTAGCATGGAATCTTTGGTGGAAGCCACAGTGGGAGACCGTGTTAAAGTCCCTGTGAAGTACCTTGCTTACCCTACCCCTGAAATAAAATGGTAAGTATTGCAGATAAATGCAAAGCATTGTTCCACCTGAAAGCAAACCCTTAAATTAAAATAATTCTGGGAATTTTTTCCTCCAAGGTATAAAAATGGAAAACCCATTGAGTCCAATCACACAGTAAAAGGGCAAAAGGAACTGGTTATTACGGAAGTGAGTGAAAAAGATACAGGAAATTACACTGTCATCCTCACAAACCCCATGTCAAAGGAGAGACAAAGCCACATGGTATCTCTGGTTGTGAATGGTGAGTTTATTCAGTTTTCCTTCTCTGCCCAAAATTAATTATAAATAGTACGATTATATCTTCTTAAACAGCCAGGCCACCTTTCCTTTGTCACCTGTTGCTTCATTCCCATCATGAATAGGCTCCTATTTTTAAAAATGACCTAGAGCAGCGGAGTTGAAGTGGGGTATAGGACAGTGCACTCTGGATATGTTTGCTTAAGAGGCCATGTAAATGGACTGTTTGGTGTCAAGTGCGGTATTCACATAGATGATAGACTTGATGGCTATATGCTGTGAAATAAGAATGCCTACAGGGACAGTTGTTGTACTACCTTTGCTCTTATCTCATGAAATTGTCCTATGAAATTGCACCTGGCATACAAATGTGCAAGAGTCTTTTTGAATTTTGTGGGAAGCTGCTAGTATGATGCAAAGACAGGTTCCAACTCAGAAAGCTTTTGCAGTTTGACATTGTTGGCTTGTTGGAACTTAATTTTTTTTTCTTAAACAGGAATCTAAGATCTATCTGACTCTGAGGCTATAAAGGGAAGATACTAAGTTTTTGATTTAAGGATGATTTGAACATTGTTTTTCAAACTGAAAGTGTCTGGGTAGGGAATAAAACAGTATATGGTCAAGTAAGTGTAGGAGATATTAAGTCAATGTACAACAGGTGTCTTTATAGCTGCACTTCTCAGGACCTTTATTTAATGTGTTCATGTATATTGCCATTCTCCAGGGAAAGACACATAGAGTATGGAGGGTTTGACAAAGATATTTGACCAGAGCATCCCCCTCCCACCCTGGAAATCCGTTAATCTCTTGCCCCAAACACAGTTTGGGAAATGCTTTTCTGTTAGAATTCTTTGTTCTCCATATTGGCCTGGCATATGAAAACTTCAGGATCTTCTTTTGTAAATTAAAGTGTTTCCCTTTATATCCTGCCACCACTCTGTATGTCTGCTGAGCTTTGCTTCATTTCTTTTCTGGGACATCAGCTTCAGGGAGAAAATTTTAAAGGGAAAAGGTTCCAGAAATGTCACTCAGAAGCCACTCAGGAATCAGACATTGGGGAATGGTGAGAAGCTGGAAAGCTAATGAGTAGGGTAGGGAGAAGAAAATGAACACAAAATAAAGATGTAAAAATGGACATTGTATATAACCCCATCTCAAGAATTCATGAAGTCACTAAACATTTGATTCACCCTACCGTTTACCCTGCTATATAAGATAAATATAAAAAGTCAAAATTTGAGAGTATAATTTGAGGCTTTAAGTTGATAGCAATGGGGGAATAGTTTTGCATTAATGACTTTGGAACCAGAAAAAGAAAAAAAAAAGGAAAAAGAGAATAAAAGTGAGAAAGAGAGAGGGGGGAGGGAAGAAATGTAAGGGAAGGAGGGAGAGAGTGTGGAGGGAAGGAAGGAAGGAAATGGAAGAAGAGGAGGGAGAAGGAAGAGAAGCAGGTTACCTTGGGCAAGTCATTTAATGTTTCTGTTTCATTTTTCTCCTGTGTAATTAAGTGAATTAATCTATGCAGAGCACTTATAACAATGGCTAGCACTTAATGAACGTATTTGCTGTGCCAGTCACAATGAGTTTCTTTCTTTATGATCTTTTGAGATTGCGAGCACAAGGAAAGTTATCCCTATCATGCAGACTGAGAAAAACTGAGGCAGAGGGTGGACAGACTTGCACACAGTCCTCCACTTATGAGGATGATGGTTATCACTAGAAGTCATATCTCCCATGTCGCAGTCTAGATGTTCTTTGAAAAAGAAAAAGAGGGCAAAATCATATGCTTATAGAAACATAGGCTTCAGTTCATGAAAACTTCCACTTTCTGTTTCTCAAAGTAGATTGAAAATTAAAATGTGGCTTCCCCCATGTCCAGTCCCACCGCAGATCGGTGAGAAGTCCCTGATCTCTCTGGTAGATTCTTACCAGTACGGCACCACACAAATGCTGACATGCACGGTCTACTCTGTCCCACCGCCACATCACATTCGCTGGTATTGGCAGCTGGAGGAGTGCGCCTACAAGCCCTTGTGAGTAGCCCACATCCTCTTTTTCCAACAAATGCTGTTGTGCATTTCTTACAGCTACACTGTGGTATAATGCCATTCCACCCCGAGAAGGCCATTCCTAAGAAAGTTATGCCCCAAGTTATACTTTTACTATCCTTCCATCTTTCTCCATGTCTTATGTTTTAGGACATGTCTTTCCTTGGGGTGTCCCACCTTGAGATCAGCTAGCTTTCTCTTCCTAACTTAGCCCTGGTGCAGACCTCTCCAAACCAGGCTCTTTGCTCACTTTGCCAATTGCTAATCTTTGGTGTTTTTCCTTATACCAGTCAACTGGTGAATACCGCTCTCTCTCCTTCTTATCTGGGGGAAGGTCCATCTCAGAGGAAAAGCTGGTGGATATGAGGGAGCTGCAGACCTGGCTGCAGCCTTTGGATTCTCAGGCCCAGCTTATCAGGTTCTCACACAAGTCCAGACATCCTTAGGAAGACAAAACAACAAGCCACCCACTACTACCCCGAGCAGTTCACTTCCTGTTGTTGTTTTTGAGATGGCCACTACTAGTTTCTTCCTCAGATGCTGACCATTTCCTACACAAAGGCCACGGTCCCAGGGAGATTACTTTAAGAAGCCCAATGACTTCTTAGTTTCCTTGTCTTCCTTTGAACTAAATTAACTTGAATTGTCTTGTCGATTCAATTTATGAATGGAGGTTTGTTCCCAGAATAACTGTTTCCCTCCTGTATCCTGGAAGAATGTACCTAGAACCTCTTCCTTCTTTGCTGAGGCCTATTTTTAATTGGCGCCAAATCGTGTAATGTGGTAGTGTGCACTGAAAGTTATTTCTAAGAACATAAGAACCAACCTTGGACTCCTTTCCTTGCTGTGGATTTGAACTAAAGAAAAATTAAGTCAAAATAAAAGCTGTTATTTCTTCCTTATAGCCACGCTGCCTTAATGACAAACCCACATACTTGTAAAGGATGGAGAAATGTGGATGACTTCCAGGGGGGAAATAAAATTGAAGTCAACAAAAATCAATTTGCCATAATTGAAGGAAAAAACAAAGTGAGTTCGAAGTTCTTTAATTTGAAAGTCTCCCTCTCTTTCTTTTCTGGAAGGATAGAAGGATGGAATGAAAGCACGAGGTCAATCTTATGTGAGGGATATCGGAGATGGATAGTCACATTAATTGTATGATAAAATACTAACATATTAAGTTAGTTTGAAAACACCACTGACTTTTAGAAGTGCCATCGACTTAATAATATCTTACCAGAGGATGGTAAAACATGTGTGCCGTTAAATCTGTACATCTGTTGTAAGGTGATTCTGATTTTACAGATACAGAAATGAGAAAATGCATACAGTGTTAAAACACTTTATTTCCTTTTCGTTTTCCAGTGTCTGTTTTGTGTAATGCATGAACCACACAAGCGTAATTATAATTGTGTGGATTTGAGAGAGGTCAGTGCAGTAGTATGAATGGAGTACGCAGGTCTCACAGGTTGAATTTTAGTCTGAATTCTTGTGCATAAACACAATCTTCCTTGTTTATGGCCTGAGTTTTCTTTTTTTATTTTTAAATAGACTGTAAGTACCCTTGTTATCCAAGCGGCAAATGTGTCAGCCTTGTACAAATGTGAAGCCATCAACAAAGTTGGGAGAGGAGAGAGGGTGATCTCCTTCCATGTGACCAGTAAGTACCACTCTGTGTGTGGGGTGGGGTCTCTCACCAGCTGGGTCTCTCACCAGCTGGGCGCTAAGCTCTCTGATATTCTGTGGTCCTTGCCATTCCTGAGTGGCATGGTGTTTCAGGAGAGGAGTTGGACTGATTCTGGGTGCTTTTGTTCGTAACTGAAGACTCCTCTGCTAGCTCTTGGGCTCATGTGAAGTCAGTGCAACTGACACTCCTATTCCCTCAGGGGAGAGAATGGTTTCACGTTGTTGTTAGCCACAAGTCCTACATCATAATCATGTCTCCACCATCCAAGTGTAACCCAGCACTTGGCTTCTTGGGGTTCCTTCAGGGGGCTTGGTACTGAACGGTTGACAGCACTGAGTTTTCTGGAGGGAATTATAATGGCATAGGGACAGTTTCCTCCCAATGCTGCTGATTCTGCCTGCTCATCTCAGTTTTATGGATAAGCTTTAGCTGACTGGACTAGGTGAAAGAGTTCAGTCTGAGCTAATTTGCTTTCATAAATACAGCTTTAATGTCACTGAGTGTGATTTGTCAATGAGGAACTACATTTTTAAAGTTCTATGTTATAATTATCTGCTTTGAATATGTTTTGGATTTTTTTTTTTTCAATCTCAAAAACTGTGTTTAGAGCCCAAAGTGGAGATTTGATGTGTATCTGTGGACTGCATCTTGGTAAAATAATGCATTTGGGGGCCAGAATTGTCTAGTTTGATTGTTTTCTTGTATTACATTGCCTGGGATTGCTAGAGCTTCACTTTTCTTGATGCTTTATAGCAGTCTGAAGACAACAAGGAGAGAATCGTGCGCTGCCCAAATTAAATCATCATTTTCTAACCATGGGTTTTATATTTCAGGGGGCCCTAAAGTCACTTTGCAACCTCATGCCCAGCCAACTGAGCAGGAGAGTGTGTCTTTGTGGTGCTCTGCAGACAGAACTATGTTTGAGGACCTCATGTGGTACAAGATTAGCTCACAGGCTCTGCCAAGCCATGTGGGAGAGTTGCCCACACCTGTTTGCAAGAACTTGGATGCTCTTTGGAAAATGAATGCCTCCAAGATCTCTAATGGCACAAGTGACATTTTGATCATGGAGCTCCAGAATGCATCCTTGCGGGACCAAGGAGACTATGTGTGCTTTGCCCAGGACAGGAAGACCAAGAAAAGACATTGCGTGGTCCGACAGCTCACGGTATTAGGTAGGGAGGCAATGTGGGGTCATCAAAGACAGTTGGAATGCCTTCTATGTAGTGCTTTTAGGGACTATAAGATTACTGTCCTCTAGGAGCTTATGAAGTAGACTGGTGCACACTTACCTATTCACTGAGGGTTTTTGAGGCAGAAGGAGGTGAATAGTGGTGAAATGATGTATTAAAGAGAGAAAATAACGTGTTTCTTTCCAGCTCTGATGATAGGATTTCCCTACTGTCTACAAGGGATTAGCTTAAACTGGGAAAATTCCTGCTTCACTCTGGACATTCGTATATTTCAGTAGACACATATCCATGGAATGCCTACTGTGAGCTAAGAAGTTTTCAGAAGTTCACAGTAGTGAGTAGGTAGACGAGATGAGAATGTAGGCAACCACTGGGCAGGCATGGCACACTGAGGTCTCTGTGTCTATGAGGACAGGAATTGTTTTCTGTCTTACTCCTTGAAGTAGCTCACATCATAGAACATAGTGGCACATACTAGGTGCTCAGTAAGGTGTCTGCCACATGAAGAGTAGGATTCTTGGGTTGTTTAGGAGCCCATGGGAGTGCTGTTACATGGCACTGCCTGTCCTTTTGGGTATGTAGTCCAGCATAGAGATCTATGGGATGATCATTTTAATGAGCAGATAGCTTTGTAAATTCCCCAGGGAACCACTCTCCACACCTCATCTAACCCGTGTCTTGCACAAAAGCTATGTAATCATGCCTCTGTCCCTGGGAAATTGGACAAATTTAGGAAGATCTCTTTGTGTCCACTTTCTCCATTTTCTCCTCTCTTTAGTGTGCCTTCCCAATTTCTGGGAGACATGTATTGTCTGATTTTACTCTTAAGAAGGGAAACAAACAGCCCAGGTGAATGAATCTATACCAAGGTTTTAGAGGAATAATATCTTCCTCAGAGGGCTTGGCATATTTTAAGAGGCATCTTCAGACAGACTCTAGGATAGTGTTTGCTAGTGTTAAGACTTAGATGTTAAAAGAAGGAAAATTTTTGGGTGAAGTCATTCCCAGGGCCCTTCTTATCATATCACATATATGACCATGTGTTTTCTGTTCACCTTGGTGACCAGTCTGGTTTCAAAGTAATAGAAGAATTCAGAAAGAGACATGAAGGAGGACATGCCTGGGAAATTTGTGCTCACATTGAACTGGTTTGCTTCTCTAACAACTCCCAAGTTATTTTCCTAAAATTATTCTTAGAATAGACTAGAGCCCAGGACATTTGCTTAAACCCCAATGTAGTTCACCACTGAGGTAATCGCATTTTGTTAAATGTTAAAGTGGATCCTTTCAGCAAGATTCCTTTTGATTGTTTTGGACAAGATATTTCTACAAACCTTTGATGGAAGGGCAAATCTCAAGTTTTGCTATACATTGAAAGAAATACCCATGGGCTTAATTTTCTTGAAACCTTTGACTTTCTTTAGGGATGGTTGTCTTTCTCATTTGTGTTTTAGTGGAAATGGCACTGGACTAGTCCTTTAGGTTTGCCAGATTCTATTATTAGTTCAAACACTTACTTAGTTACAGGGACTTGGGCAATTTGCTTACCTCCTGAACTGCAGTTTTTTTTCATCTGTGAAATAAGATTAATATTATTGTCCATTCTAAGATTGATAGGGAGCAACAGAAATAGTATGAGTGAGTTTTGTAAAAAGTGCCAAATAAATATAAGGCATTCTTTGTTGAATTACACTGAAGTTTCACACTTTCCAAGAGAAACATGGTGGAATTCATGGGTGTCACTGGCTAGAACTTTCCTGGGAGGGAAAGTTTCTCTTTGGGGAAGCTGAGTCTAATTAGAGGAAAAAAAACATAAAAGTGACAGCCTTTATTTTGTGATGTGACAACTAGTTAGAATCACTAATAGGAATGTTCAAAGAGATGTAGTGATCTATCTCAACCATCCTGACTTGTTCCATTTAACTTTACTCAGTGACCAGCGGTACTATCATCAACTTCTGTGTATTTGCAGTTTAGTAAATCAACAGCCTACTGTTTATGAAGTTTACACTGTTTATTAGTTTACCAATGCTAAAACCATTTCAAAAGTTATAACTAAATGTGTGATTTTTTGTGTGTGTGCATAGAGCGTGTGGCACCCATGATCACTGGATTCCTGGAGAATCAGACTACAAGCATTGGTGAAACCATTGAAGTTTCATGCACCACGTCTGGGAATCCCCCTCCACAAGTTACATGGTTTAAAGATAATGAGACACTTGTAGAAGACTCAGGTGAATAAAATATGTCTCTCTCTCACTGGTTGCAGAATTTTCCTGGAGACGTGTCCCAAACCCCACATTATGTCTTGATTTGTTTTAGATAGCTAAAAAAAAAAAAAAAAAAAGCAAATTAGTGTCCATGGTCTGGCTCATTTTCTAGACTCTAAATTAAAGTATTTAGAGCCTTGTTGAATTCTCAGGGAAGCCGGGGGTGATGAGTCAGCAATGTATCCTGTACCACTCTTTGGAATTAGACACTAGTCCAAGGAAAGGACACCATTTATATTTTTAGATTTTTTTTTCCTGAAAAACTCCACCAGATCACATCACAAATAGAAACAATTATTTTTCTTATCTCTTAGGTATTGTACTGAAGGATGGGAACCGGAACCTAACCATCCGCAGGGTGAGGAAGGAGGACGAAGGCCTCTATACCTGCCAGGCATGCAATGTTCTTGGGTGTGCAAAAGTGGAGGCATTTTTCATAGTAGAAGGTCAGTGGAGTTGCATGGACACGTTAGGTGGTTTTAAAAACTTAGCTTGTATTGTATATATACTCACTCACTTTGGGTGATTTTTTATAATCTTTGTAGTTTGTATATGTTCTACTCTAAGTACATATTTTTTTTTCATTTTTTTAAAATTTTTAATCATTTTTTAATTTATTTTCAGCATAACAGTATTCATTGTTTTTGTATCACACCCAGTGCTCCATGCAATCCGTGCCCTCTCTAATACCCACCACCTGATTCCCCCAGCCTCCCACCCCTCCACCTCTTCAAACCCTTCAGATTGTTTTTCAGAGTCCATAGTCTCTCATTGTTCACCTCCCCTTCCAATTTCCCCCAACTCCCTTCTCCTAACTCCCCATGTCCTCCATGCTATTTGTTATGTTCCATAAATAAGTGAAACCATATGATAATTGACTCTCTCTGCTTGACTTATTTCACTCAGCATAATCTCTTCCAGTCCCATCCATGTTGCTACAAAAGTTGGGTATTCATCCTTTCTGATGGAGGCATAATACTCCATAGTGTATATGGACCACATCTTCCTTATCCATTCTTCTGTTGAAGGGCATCTTGGTTCTTCCCACAGTTTGGCAACTGTGGCCATTGCTGCTATAAACATTGGGATACAGATGGCCCTTCTTTTCACTACATCTGTATCTTTGGGGTAAATACCCAGTAGTGCAATTGCAGGGTCATAGGGAAGTTCTATTTTTAATTTCTTGAGGAATCTCCACACTGTTCTCCAAAGAGGCTGCACCAACTTGCATTCCCACCAACAGTGGAAGAGGGTTCCCCTTTCTCCACATCCCCTCCAACACATGTTGTTTCCTGTCTTGCTAATTTTGGCCATTCTAACTGGTGTAAGGTGATATCTCAATGTGGTTTTAATTAATACATATTATTTTAACCAGAAACCATAATCAATGCCATTTTAATTCTGCTTGGATCACATTTCTTATCCTTGCAGTTCTTGCTTTGGAAAAATTCTTAGCCTGACAGGTGGAATACCCACCTTGCCTTTATTTTTTTTCTTCATTGAATGGCTCGGTTAACTTGTTGTGGAAGTGGTACCCCTGTATTTACTTGGAAAAACATTGGAATTACTGCTCAACCATCAAAATCAATGTTATCCAGATAATCACAAGTCCAAGTTTTCCTTGGACTACAGACAATTAAAATTTATTTGTGAACAATAGACCCTTGCTTCTGTGACATGGAATTTTAGTGTGTCTAAATGTGAAAGGAAACTCCTGTATGGAGGAGGGAGGTGAAATCTGGCATTTTCTCAGATGGGAAGGTAATTTGTGACAGGATATTTTCTCTTCAGAAATGTATTCCTATTTTAAAAAATAATCTATCAGGGGAGCAATGAAACTCTATTATGTGGGTGAAAGGAATGGTATGCAAGGGGAAGAAAGAAGGACGGTAACAGAAGGAATAACTGATGAATTTTTATGAACTCATCCTAACTTGTCTCTCAAAGTCTAGATTTTAGTTCCCTTCATCTGTCAAATCTGTTACATCTTGATGACTTGTTTTCCAATTTGTAGGCTTATTACCATTTCATGAACTGCACTTGGAAAAAAGATTTCAAGTGCGTGAAATAAATAAAAATTTCAAGTGTTATGGTGCTTTTGTCACTTTCCAAGGGGCTTCATGTTGAGGGCAGATCCCAGTGGGGACTTCTAGCTCTCTCCCATGCTCTGCCTCACCTCTGTTGGCTATTTGCAGTGGGCTACCCACAGAGCTTATATTTACTTTGTACCCAAAACGGAATACTAAGAAGGAGAGAGATAGATGTTTAATTCTTCTGTTAAGTTCCCAAATGTTAACATGGGAATATTAACACACTAACTTATATAGACAATTGAATCTTTGAACTTTTTATATGTATAATGGACTTTTAGACCTCTGTGTATAAAAAGAAAATTATTTTGGTAGGACCACCGGGGAAACAGAATCGATTTTCAAGCCATGCTTGGTCCTTGGTTCTCACTGTTAGCTCTTACTTGGCTAACTAGTTCATTCCTTGTCCTTCTGCCTTTTTGAGGCTGCCTTGGGCCACTTGAACAGCTTATTTGATTCACACTGCACTCATCCAATGGGAGGCCCTAGGTGATAATTGCTTCCTTATCATCTCTTTGCTAATCACTCCTAGTTGAAAGCCTCCTCTGGCATTTAATTTCTTCCACTCAGAGCTGTCCTCTGGAGCTCTGAGCATCTGCAGCTTTCCTTGCCGACCTCTGCCTTACCTTTCATGGGTGGTTTAAACTCATTTTATTGCCAGGCTATGAGGGATGCTCTCTTCTCAGCTTTCTCTCTTTTCCTAACTCAGGCTCCTGCCACACAAGCGCAGGGTAGTGTGATGGCTAACTGGTGTTGGACAGACTTTGTTTAACTCTTGACCATTCCCCCAACTTGCTGTGTGCCCTTAATGAAGGAGCTTAACCTCCCTGAGCTTGTTTCTCCATCTGAAAGCTGATCGTTGTTGAGAAGATTAAGTGGGATAGTGTATTTAAAGTGATGAGCACCTAGGGGTTGCATGGCAACCAATCACTTACTGGCCACTTGTCTTCTCATATTATCCTTTCTCAAACTCTATACAGATGAAAACAGACTATCTGTGTAAACCAGAGTTTCATTTTCCCCAGAAAGAGGTCACTAGAAATTATTCTAGAACTTATTCTGAATTAAAACATACTTCTTTTCTTCCCTGTAGAATGTGATCTGTTTTCTTTCCATTAAAGTCTCCTCTTCCTCCAAACACTTCATATGTTTTTCTTGTAAGACATCAAACATTTCAATCCTTGATGTCCTTAATTTCTTTTATTATTATTATTTTTTTTTTAATTTCTTTTCAGCATAACAGTATTCATTGTTTTTGCACCACACCCAGTGCTCCATGCAATATGTGCCCTCCCCAATACCCACCACCTGGTTCCCCCAACCTCCCACCCCCTGCCCCTTCAAAACCCTCAGGTTGTTTTTCAGAGTCCATAGTCTCTCATGGTTCACCTCCCCTTCCAGTTTCCCTCAGCTCCCTTCTCCTCTCCATCTCCCCATGTCCTCCATGTTATTTGTTATATAATTTCTATCCTAAAACTTTGGAATTTTATCGTTGGAAGTTTTCATGGGCAGTGCTTTGCAAACTTTAATTATCCATTAAGAATGTTATAGACTCCCTCCAACTTAGAGGCTTGTGACTATTATTGTCTAGGATTTTTTTCCAAGTTGGTAAACTTGAGATCTTGCTTTAGTGTAGAACTTTGTCATCTTATATCAAAAGGTATGAGTTTTCAACTGTTGATGCTCATTCAATTTCATCTTTCCAGGTGCCCAGGAGAAGACAAACTTAGAAGTCATTATTCTAGTAGGCACAGCAGTGATTGCCATGTTCTTCTGGTTATTACTTGTCATCGTTCTACGGACCGTTAAGCGGGTAACAAAATCATTTCCCTTCCATCCCATGTACGTTGGTTTTCATGATTAATGAAAGCTGACTGGGGCTCTTTGAGTTGTTTCTTCCCATTGTTATTGGCTCAATGGGCACAATTTTATTTCAATACAATAACATTCTTTCCCACTTTCTTTTGGCTGGGCCACTGGGCTTTAATTGATAGAAGCCACTAGAGGAGACAAGGGCTTGGACTGTCTAGTGTAATTAAGATTTAAGTACTTCATTCTGAGCTCATTTGGGGTTGAGGGGACACTGGATACAGGATTATAATAGGCCTTACTCTCAAACTTCATGAGTTTTATTTGAGAATGAGACATCAGGAATGGGGCTTCTATAAACAACAATAATAAGCACACAAAAACAACAGCCAGACAACAGAGCGTATGTGACTGGAAGGAATAATGCTTTCCAGGCCAATGGAGGGGAACTGAAGACAGGCTACTTGTCCATCGTCATGGATCCAGATGAACTCCCCTTGGATGAGCACTGTGAACGCCTGCCTTATGATGCCAGCAAGTGGGAGTTCCCCAGAGACCGGCTGAAACTAGGTGTGTTTTCAAGTGGTACTAATTTGATGTTGGGTTTACCAGGACTTCTCTTCTTCCTTTAGGATGATGACAAATCTAGTCTCTTCACATGTTGGATCCAGGTTCAGAATATTCATTCTGTCTTTTGAATTTGAGTCATCATCCTTTTAGTCACTTAGAAGTAGGGTCCCTGTACAATTATCCAAAGCAGGACATTTGGAGAGCAGAGGGGGAGGTATTAAATAATGAAGCCACTATAAGAGAGTTGAGCTGGATTCTTCCAAGTTAAACCGGGATGTGTGATGACCCAATCTAGTCGGAATCTCTGCATGCCGCTTTGGTCCTGTCATAGTCCAAGTCTGTTTTGTTTCCTGTCATCGTTGACTGTAGGTAAACCTCTTGGCCGTGGTGCCTTTGGCCAAGTGATTGAAGCAGATGCCTTTGGAATCGACAAGACAGCAACTTGCAAGACAGTGGCCGTCAAAATGTTAAAAGGTAAAGGCAAAATTAAATGGTGATATATCCCTTTCTGTGTTTTGTCTGGTCTGTAAACATGATGAAAGCCTTGTGTCAGCACCTCTGTGGTTAGGTGAGCCCACTAGCCAAGCGTGCAGCTGGCTTAGGTGATACCTTTGTACAGATTGGGGAAAAGTTCCTCTTTTATAGCCTCCTGGCAAGGTGTATGGCCTGGCAGGCAAGGTTGAGGATGGGTTGCAGCTTCACCCACTTTCCCAACTTGCCTGAGAGCCCTTGTGCAGGGCATAGCTTATACAACTGTACTTAGTGTCCTGACTATAGGAAAATAATACCTTGGTTATGTAAAGATTGTTTCTTAATTTATTATGATGCATTAGTGAGATGATTATAGACCATGTAGAGACATGGAAAGAAATTTCATGTAATAAGTAAAAACAGTAGAGCGCAAAAACATCCTGTTTCCTAGAATTGGAATATGTGAAAGATTTTCTCCTATAAAGATAATGGCTGCACTAGGAAAAAAAAGGACCACAGGTGACATGTTAAGAACCTAAAAGCTTTATGAACAATGGTTAACCCTAATAGTAAAGGAATTCTGGTCTTGTCATTCTCATCTGGGGAGGTGATGCTCCAGGTGTGATGTGCTTTCATGATGAGGGCAGTGCCACAGACCCTTGGCCAGTAGATCGTGTGCATTTCAAAGCCATCTCTCTCCTTTTGCCTATTCTCCCTTGTGGCTAAGGGGGTGTGCAGTTTTGAGGTGGCTCATCAGGGTCTGAGGTGTGGACCGTGTGTGTGAATTAGAGGGAAGTGTACCGGTCTGTGCAGGATCACACTTGCAGTTCTAGCCTCATTCAGGCTCTTGTGCCAACTGGCCTTGCCAGCTGGCCCCTGTTAAGTTTCCTCCTTGGCACTGATTGGCGGGAACTTCAGCATAGCCCCTAACACATAAGGGTATTTAATACATGGTGTTGCTTCCTTACCAGGAAGGACTGAAATAATCAGGCCCTAAGAAGCATAGTCAACCTGATATATGAAAATCCAATTTTGTAAGAGAGGAAAATCTGGGCATGATTCCCTTTGCAGATGTCGTCCCCACTTTGCAAAAGACTTCACAATGGATTCCTTTAAATATCAAACATTCTGGGTGCACTTAAAGTAAGGATTGGATTTAGACAAGGAAATATAATTTATACTTGACTTTCAATGTACCTAGTCTGTACATTTGGTTACAGTGTATTATCCCTAGAGGGTAAGTTGCACACATGCCTGCAGTGGTGGGGCACTGATTCTCCTAAGCTAATGCCCACATTTATGATTTCACTCTCTGCCATATATTTGTAGAAGGAGCAACACACAGTGAACACCGAGCCCTCATGTCTGAACTCAAGATCCTCATTCATATTGGCCATCATCTCAATGTGGTCAATCTTCTAGGAGCCTGTACCAAGCCAGGAGGTGAGTATCTGTGGATGGTTCTGGTTGCCTAATGATTTTGGCATATAATTTTCTGCTGGTGTTTCAAGGAAACCACTCAGCTCCCATGGCCTTGATTTCCTTAGCTTAGGATACTTTGCCAGATTCCTAGATATAAATATATTTCATGGAGGTTTAATGGGCACTATAAATTATTCTAGAACTTCCTGTGAATTAAAAAAATGCCATCTCGCTATACCGCAGTTTGCTCCTTATGTAAGAGGTTCAGATGAGAAAAGTAAGCTTCTCAAAAAACTTGAAAGCAAAAACCTTAAGAGTAGTTCCCTCTAAAACGAAATCATCTTAAGTGATTGTGTTGAAAAGCAAGTGGTTGGATTTTCTTCTGAAATTTTGGTTCATCTTGCTGCGGGATTGCCAGTTAGTAAAAGAAAAGCTACATTATAAGGGCATTGTGACCAGCTGATTTTGATGATCCTGTCCTGGTGACCGTTTGTAGTGTCCTTCTATGATTTTTGTGGTTCATCCATGTGTTAAACACTTGATGAGATACATGAATGGAAACATTTTCCTTTCTTGACATGCTGTGCTGTCTGCAGGGCCACTCATGGTGATAGTGGAATTTTGCAAGTTTGGAAATCTGTCAACTTACTTAAGGAACAAGAGAAATGAATTTGTCCCCTATAAGGTATGTCATTGAACTCAGCTCTGACCACATTGTAAAATGGAGGAAAATACAGGTTAATCTTTCTCTGTTAAAATGTTGTGAAGAACTTGTGAGGAGTCTTCTTTTGGTTGTTTTAATTTCCTCTTTTACCTGCTGGGGCACATATCTTCTCATGGTTGGTTTTTTGTTTTTGTTTTTGTGACTCTAATCTACTGATCCATTAGAGATGGTGCCTAAGGAGGGGAGAGGGTGGGCACGATTAAGGAAAGGGAAGGATGTCTCTGGATTATTTTCTCTCTTTCCTAGCAGGATTTGGTCCCCTGGAGTGTCAGTCCCTTGGTAAAGAGCACCCTAATGTCCTAATGCCAGAGCGTGTCTGGAATAGACCTGAAACAAGGTGTTTATCTCTTTAAGCTAAAGAAGAAACTAGGCTTTATGGAAGAAAATCTATTATGTAGAACTCTTTCCCCAGATTCTAGCCCAAAGATTCCATATTCCTGAAACTGATGTCCTTCTTATCTACTTTTAATAGCTATAATTGTTTTCTAGAGATCTCTTTTGTATTCAAGGAGTGTGTCCATTTGCTTCTTTATAGACCAAAGGGGCACGGTTCCGTCAAGGGAAAGAATATGTTGGGGAAATCACTATGGATCCCAAACGCCGCTTGGACAGTATCACCAGTAGTCAGAGCTCAGCCAGCTCTGGATTTGTGGAGGAGAAATCCCTCAGTGATGTGGAGGAAGAGGAAGGTATCTGTCATTGCTTTCTCCACACTTAACGCATACTCTTGCAGGAAAGAGAAGGTGGTAGAGTGTTATGAGTAATTCTGTCCTGGGAAAAGTTCAGTACTCCCTAATATTTGGAAGAGACCTACATTTCTAGACTGCTTCCATTCAGTTTTCCCAAAAGTGAGTTGTGGAAACCCTAACTAAGCAGCTGTCTAGACTGCGAGGCAAAGTACGGGGCAAGCCTGAGAAATCCCGGTACCCCAGGCGGCTCAACAGTCAGCAACAACCAAACTAATGCTTTGAGACTATTGGTTCAGCATCTAGTAGCAGGCGAGGATCAGTGCTTTGTTCCTTAAGGACAAAGGAGGCTCTCTGATGGTAGATTTGCCTCCACATTGCCCTGAGCAGTTCAGCCCCACTCTGCCTAAGTCACCCAAACTCTTCAAGGCAGTGTAGGGGTTACCTGCTGTTTCTACCCCATTCCAAGGGGCTTATTGAGTCTTTCTTGCACCTGTACTTCCTTAGAGGAGTCCTGGTTAGCATATTTTTCTATACCCAGTTATGCTTCCAGTGATATTTTAGTGTTCTCTCTGAGTAGAGCTGTGTTCACAGTCTAATTTCCAGGATTTCTTCCAGCTTCTGGGTATACTGTCGATCTGCTTCCCTTAGAAGGAGCAGAGACAGCCCCATGGATATAGAGATGGGGCTTCCTGATATCTGGCTCCTCTTGAGGCATGATCTTAGCAGAACCCAGTCATGAAATAGTGAAAGAAACCTGTTTCCCTTTCCCTAGACATGAGGCTACAGATAGAACTTAAATCTGGCTTCTTTCTCTTAGAAGCCAAGCAGGGTGTATGATGCTGGGACTCAGTCTAGAAGAGTATGGAGAAGCCATCTAGACCTCATGTAACTGGGCCCATGCCAAGTGGGGCCCTCTCTGTCTCGTCCTTCTCTCTCACAAAATGGTGGCCAGTGGGCTGGAAACCCAAAGGATTGGGGTACTCAGTTGGAGAAGAAAGGGTGTGGCCTGGAATTTGTCCTCCATTTCTTCATTTGGAAAATGAAAGGGTTTCACTAATTGTTCACTGAGAGCCCTCTAACCCTAAGCTTAAAAAAATCATTGAGAAAAAGGTTCTCAGTCTTTTTAATACTTACGAGGTTATTATTACAAGTGAGTTTTCATTTACTCTGGTATTTGTCTCTAGGAGAGAAGCCATGTCTTATCTTATCTGACCAGAGTTAAGTGATCATGTTGAAACACCCATTAATGTCCTCGTGTTTATTTGTACCAGTTGCATGGAAATAAATACCACCAATTTACGTAAAACCGTCTTTCTCTCGATGTTCCTGTCACCTCTCATTCATATTCTTGAAGGGAAAAGAGCATCCTCGCAGACCTGTTTTAATGTGTTTACAGCACTTTCTCAGCTTGAAAGTGAGAGAAGTGAATATATTTCTGATATTTTTAGTTGTCTGTTGTAGATTATAATTTGACCTTTGGCCTTTGTCCCAGGACAAAGCCTGGAGAGAAAAGATTCAATGACCCTGAATATTGTTGTTTTATTTTTAGAGTTCTTGATATGAAACTATTGTTTATCCCTCTGGGTACATGAAAAAAAAAAAACAGTTTAAAACAGCAAACTTAGAAAAGTCCTCTTTTGCTCTTTGCCATCTCTGCCAAATGCACCTCCCTTCTGCCTCCTGGATTTGCTGGTCCAATTTGACTAAGATGGAAAAACCAACATTTTTTGGCTAAGGGGTATGATGAAAGCTAATAATACGAGGATTCAGCAAATTTACAGAAGATACAGGCATTTTTCTCTCCGCTTTTATTTCCAGAAGTTTAACTCCCAAGTATTAAAATGAAGCTTACTCTAACAAACTTAGAAACAAATAGTTTCTGGGGGCAATACTGATCTCTGTCCTCCTGCATCTTCTGACAGTTTCGGAGGATCTGTACAAGAACTTCCTGACCTTGGAGCATCTCATCTGTTACAGCTTCCAAGTGGCTAAGGGCATGGAGTTTTTGGCATCACGGAAGGTAAGACAGCTCAGAGGGGACCCTAAGTATCTCTTTGGATCACAGATGTGGAAGTAAGATGTCCAGTACCAGCCACCGGTGTTTGTTTGGAACTGTAATTCGTTCCCTACTGCTGGGACTACTTGAAGAGTTCTGTTGGAAAGGCCCCATTCCTGCTAATTTAAGGAGGTGTAAGGATTTCATGAAATTAATTAATTCATGTGGTAAATATTTAATGACCATCTATTAAATGCAGGCAGTGCTAAGGATACTATGTGAACGGACAGGCAAAGCTCTCCACCATCATGGAGTTTACATCCTACTGGGCGGAACAGGCAGTGGACAATATAAACAAGTCAACTACGTAGTAGGTAGGATGGGAATAAGCCCTATGGGGAAAAATAAGCAGGAAAGGGTTAGGGTTAGAGAGTATACAGGAATGGTATGTTTGTGTGTGCATGCACTTCTGTGTTCGTGTACACCGATTTTAAACAGAATGGACCAGGAAGGCTTTGTAAGAATGTGACATCTGAGCAGCGACCTGGGAAAGGTGAGGGACTGAGACTTGCAGATATCTTGGTGTGAGAGAGTCTATTTTTAATTTATTTTACATTCATCCCCATCCATCAAAAAGTATTTGTTAGTGGTATAATTAGAAAGCAGGAAGGACAGGCTTCAGATGAGAGCGATTATAAAAGCTAAAATTAGAAAAGTAGGCCAAACAAAGGCTGTGGTGGGGACGTGACAAGTTACAAATATTCCAGAGTCTGTAAACACCACGGTGGGAGCTGGGTCGGTTGAAGTCACCTCTCTGGGAAGGACAGGACAGGTGGTTTTATATTAAACAAGGAAAATTCAAATTAACTTTCAGGAAAAATGATCAGTTGGCAGAATGCATTGGTTGCAGCCTCCTGGAGGGGAGGAAAGACTTACTGTTTTTGTTTTTCTAAATTAGAGTGAAATCTCTAACCCATTTCTTTTTCTGAAGCTTAAAGCTCGTCATAGCTTTCAGAACCTCAGGATCTCGAAAGTTTCTGTCTGAGAGCTCTTGTCTCCTTTCTCCCAAGGGGAAAGGAGAGCAGTGTGGTCTTAGGGGATTTTCCCACAGAGAAAGGCCCTTTGCCTTTCTTGGAGATTCTGATCTTATTTTATTATTATTTTTAAAGACCAGAGCCTGCGTTGAGTCAGGGTATCTTTCGACCGGGATGGGAATGGGGTGGGGACCGTTAACTTCCCTTGCATCTACCAGCTGGTTTCTTGAAAACCTGTTTGTTGGTCTGAAAAAAGAAGCTTTGGTTGGGGGAAAAGTAGAGAGGACTTTCTGGTTTTTGGAATCTCCTGTCTTGCGCAGTCTTGCTTGGCCGAAGACTTTTGAATATGCCTCTTTCAGAGGGAAGTGCTACCTGGAGACAAGCATGTGGGGTGGTCGGCTATGCCTGGCTCCTGTGATCACTCCTGTGCTGGCTTCAGAATTCTCCTCTGAGCCTTTCCTTCATTTACAAATATTCCCCAGGACTCTTGTTCCCCAACAAATCTACCAGGTGAAGCTATAGCTGCTCAGTAGTAAGAGGTTAGATGAGGACGGGGATATCAAGAAGAGAGACACTGAGGACCAGAAAAGAGTGGGGAGAAAGCAGGACGAATTTGGTTTTCCTTTTTTAGTGCACCAGAGAATCAACTTGACCCGTGAGAAGCTGAAATCTCTTTCATAGACCTTTGCGATAATCTAACACTTTGAAACAGGATGAACCCCACAGGGGATGGTTTATCAGAGCCGGTCAGTTTCAGTTCCGTATGGAACTGAGAAACCAACAAAGGGCACCAAATAAAGGAGAACCCCTTGTTCCTGATTTCTGAGCATTCATTCTGAGTAGGAGGGCGTTCTAGGGCCTCCTTAGAATAACAGGTTTTAACTGTATATGGTGCCAAGCAAAAGGGAGATGTGGATGTGACCAGAAACACATTCATAATTGTGTCCAAGAGAAGTCTATTTATGACTCCATCATCATACTATAACTTAATTATTTAACTCTGAAGTCTGGGACTTTTTATGCGATAAGCAGATGTGTGCCTCCACAAAAGTCAGACTTCTTTCTTGAAGGGTTGATGAAAGAGATTAGCCCAGTGCTTGTTAATCAGTTGGTTTTCTGAAGTGGGGCTATTTTGAGCATGAGATCACAACAGGTGCAGAAGACATCAGCTGTGCTGAGACCTAACGCACACACGATTCTTTTTGCAGTGTATCCACAGGGACCTGGCTGCACGCAACATCCTCTTGTCGGAGAAGAACGTGGTTAAAATCTGTGACTTTGGCTTGGCCCGGGATATTTATAAAGACCCAGATTATGTCAGAAAAGGAGATGTAAGTTTCAAAGATGAACCCAGTGCTCTGTTAAATTGCAGGATCCAAATTCATCTTTGCAAGCTTCAGGACCTGCGTTGGGACCAAAGGAAGTTTTCTCTTCAGATGTGTGCTAAGCTGGGTTCTGATTCCTTGTCTTCTACCCTCTTAGGCTCGCCTCCCTTTGAAATGGATGGCCCCAGAAACAATTTTTGACAGAGTGTACACAATTCAGAGTGATGTATGGTCTTTTGGTGTCTTGCTCTGGGAAATATTTTCGCTAGGTAAGTCACTTGTTTTTTGTCCCTCCATCCATACTCCCAAGAAAATGATACAAGTCAGTGGCCCCAGTGCACCTTTTCCTCTCCTGCATTCCACCTTTATCTGGTGAAGGTTACTTGGAAGCTTTGGATAGTTAAAAAAATATATGTGTGTGTGTGTGTGTGTGTGTTTGTGTGTATACATATATATATATATGTATGTATATATTTGGGATGATGTTCAAGAATCAGGGTTTTTTCTGTAAGTGACTCTTAATCTCACAAAACAAACTGAGGGTTGCTGGGGGGAGGGGGGTTGGGAGAAAGGGGGTGGGGTTATGGACATTGGGGAGGGTATGTGCTATGGTGAGTGCTGTGAAGTGTGTAAACCTGGCGATTCACAGACCTGTACCCTGGGGATAAAAATATATTATATGTTTATAAAAAATAATAAAAAAAATTAAAAAAAAGAATCAGGGTTTTTTATAAGAAAAAATAAAATCATATAATGTCCCATTCCTGTTTTATTCTAGGTGCTTCTCCATATCCTGGAGTAAAGATCGATGAGGAATTTTGTAGGCGATTGAAAGAAGGCACTCGAATGAGGGCCCCTGATTATGCCACACCAGAAATGTAAGACTTCGAAAATATCTTTCTATCCTTTCTTCGTGCATTAAAACTTCCCTTGCCCAGAAGACTTTTCATGATACAGACCTCTTTCATGGCCCTGTGTCCTTCTTCTCTCTGGAAGTCTTCCTTGATAATCTCAAGCACTTGAAACAACAGCACTTTATTTATACCTGCCAGTTAGTTTTTATCAGAAGTCAATTTATAACATTTCCTATACATACTTGATGCTCCAAGTATAGCGTTATGTGTTTTATATGGTGTTATATTACTATTTAGTGTCTGGGCTCATGGTGGAGTTTTCATAAATGTTTACTCATTCAAGTGCTTATTCTCAGCACCAGATGAAGAAGAAGGAGACAGTTAATGACATTAGTGTTTTGCTTCTCTAGATACCAGACCATGCTTGACTGCTGGCATGGGGAGCCCAATCAGAGACCCACGTTTTCTGAGCTGGTGGAACACTTGGGAAATCTGTTACAAGCTAATGCTCAGCAGGTTTGTGACCTCCATCCAAGAAGTGTGTCCAAGAGCTTCTCTCCTCCCTAGATGTTCTCATGGCCACCATATTCTTGCAGATCTGAGCAATAATGCTTTTTTTATAAAAGCTGTAACTCCCCTTTTAGACAGATGAGATCCTAACCACTCATTCCTCCTGATGTATCTTTTTGTTGTCTTCAGATGCTCTTCTAAAGTAAAATCAACTAGTCACTTAATTAATAAAAATTAGCTGATCCACAGACTATCAACAATGGACAGAATTTCAAGGAATTTTTAGTACACTGCACAGGCAGCACGATATCTGAAGCCCTCAAAATAGATGGCTTTTCCTCAGTGAAATCCCAGACTCCCAGAACTTCCACTGGAGGATTTTAGAATTGTAATCTTTACCATAACGAAGTTATTTAATCTCCAGTCAGTGGCCTCTTACTACCATGAATGGAAGCCAATTTCCTCCTGCTTTTCTTTTGAACAAGTGGGGGACAATGGGTCAAATCTGTTTTTATCAGTAAGCTTTTCAAATGTTTAAAGGTATCACATTGCCCTTTCTTTCTTTCTCTTGATGAAATAATGTTAAATTGTGCAACCTTTTCTCAGAAGACCCATTTTCCTGCACATTTATTGCTTTTCTCTAGACTGTCATCAGATTTTTCCATTGCCTTGAAATGTAGAGGCTAAAATTGGATGACATGCCTTTTAAAAGACCTGGCTCCTGTAGGTAGGGCTTTGTGAAGAAATGATGTCTGAGCCCTCCGTGTTCTGTTGCCATATCTCTGGCCACAGCCTGCTTTGTCTTCCTCCTGACCATAGTTGTTGGCGGTCCCCTTACGCCTCTTGTTTTTATATTAACTCTTTTAACATAGTTTCATATATACACATCCCTTTCAAGTGTCCTTTTGTTTTTGACAAACCATGTTTAATGTTGTCTTTAAGTTCTGCGCTCAGATATGAAAGCGACAGACCTCATCACCAAGGAGCCCCTATGGCCTTTGTTTCTCATGAAAAGGTTCTTGAGGGGCAGGAGCCATAACAATAGCACTCTGTGTTTGTTGTTTCAGGATGGCAAAGACTACATTGTTCTCCCGATATCAGAGACTTTGAGCATGGAAGAGGATTCTGGACTCTCTCTGCCTACCTCACCTGTTTCCTGTATGGAGGAAGAGGAAGTGTGTGACCCCAAATTCCATTATGACAACACAGCAGGAATCAGGTACTGTATATGGTCAACATCCCCCTGGGGGGAAGGATGGGGGCACTTCAAGGTCATTTGGGGAGGGGATGGAAGGAAGATTGCCTCTCACCTCCACATTTAACCTTAGCCCTGAGACTGCTATCAGGGGAAGTGCTCCTTGAAGAGGGCCGGGTAGGTGAGTTGCTCCCCATCTGCGGTCCACATTGCTGCCATAGCTGTTCCTTTCAAATTCTAAGCCCTGCAGCTGCAAATAGCTGGAATGCCACAGTATGTTAATCTCCAGAAAAAGAGACCAATTTTATATAGACATCTGTATTTAAATTATCCCCATGTACTCTTTTATTAATATGAATTAAATGGCTTAGGAAGGATTCTGGAAGGAAGGGTTTTATGCATATATGAGGACACACTTACGCCTCTCTGGCTAGGATGCAGGGTGCGATGGGGATGTGTCCCGAATTGGACTGGACAGCACATCTTCAGAAGACTCTCCCTAGTCTGATTTTCAGCATTTTATTTGCATAATGGGAATGCTGGACTTATTTAAAACACATGCACTGCTGTCCTCTCCTGATCTGTAAAGGGGTTCTGAAGGCAGCTTTCTTTTTTCTCTCTTCCAACACCTGTGTCTGAGGAAAGAGTTGATATAGTGTCTACACTATGATATTAAAATTGCCTTTTACGAAGTCTGGGACTTCTTTGTTTCCCACCCACCCCTCCCCATTGGGTGTTTTCCTCCTGTAACTGGCTCCCCTGATCACAGGGTCCAGCCTGCACTAGTGAGAGTGCTGTGGCTGCAGGAGGGGCACGGAGCTCTAGGCTAGCCAGGCCGCCTGGTCAAGGGCGAGGAGGCCCCGTGGACAGTTTGTTCTGTGGAATCATGTAGGATGGCAGGAACATTGCCAGAGTGGGTAAAAGCCAACACGTGAGCCGCTGGTTACATTTGTGTCGGGAGTTTTCAGCGTTTTTTCGAAGAACTTTTCCTTCCGTTATCAGATTTTGCCTACATGATAACTCGTAGAGTTACACAAGGGAGAAACTATTATCTTTCTTGATGAAGATGTTGCATGTGAGGCTCAGAGCAACCCCCTGGTGGGCATAAACAATTGTGGTTAAAGATCCAGATTTTAGAGTCAGATAGAACTGGTTGGACAACTAAGTCTGCCTCTTAGTGACCTGACGCTCCTCTTCGCTGTGACCCAGGTGAAGGCGCTGGTGTTCAAAAATGATTATTTTGAGAATTACATGGTGTAACATACTTCTATGTGCCTGGCACTTAGAGAGCACTTGATAGGTGATAGTTATTCATCAAGCTGCTGAAAATCACATCTCTAGGATGAATCCAGGTCCTCCAGTCTTTCTCTTTGTCCCGTTTTCTGCCCCGAGAAGGAGGTACCCTCAAGAGAAAGGTGAATGAACTGAAAGCCAATAGTTCCACTCTCATGTTTAAAAACCTCTAGTGCAAGCTCCACTGGCCTTCTCATGTGTTAATTATTTCTTTATCAGAAAGCCATTTGATCATGAACTCTGTTGCGTGGGTTTTGTGTGACCAGGTGGAGTGAGGACCCGAGCGGCAGTCTTTTGGCTCACTTGGATGCTTTGCATATGGTGCCGAGAGTCGATGAAGTCATGCTTGTGTAATGGGAGTGCCAAATGCAATGCTGGATCTAAATCAGGGCTGCTAACATTTATCCCCAGAAGCATGGACAAATGTGACACAAGGCCTGGCTCCTATTTTCTGTCTGTGATTTTCGAATGGGTCTTTCCAGTCCAGTTTCTCTTTTATCCAGCCATAATTTGAAAAATAAAATGGAAATTGGAATCTTTTGTCGGCAGCCCCCTCTTAACCCCTGCGACCCTTTCTCCTTTTGTAAAAACAAGACTCCACAGTCACATTTTAATCATCTGGGTTAAAAGAAACGCAGCATTGAGGTATCTGCACCTGGCACACCTCGTTTTGAGGCCCTCTTTTGGTTCTGCTTCCCTGGGGAGACCAGAGATGAGGCTGGGGTACTTCTCAGTGGACTTGTTCTGTTCTTTTTCCCATTTCCGGTTTAGGTAGAAAAGCTGAGGATTCTTTCTCATTTGCTTCCTCTTGATAGTTTTCAATCCCATCGCATTATACATGGAGCTGAATAGAGACATCACTGTGGGTACCTCATCATTTGCTGTCCCTTCAAATTAATTAAAAATATTTGTTCAACATTTATTTAGCAAAGAGGCTGAGAGGTGTGTGGGGAAAGGGTGAACAGGACAGATCACTAATGTCTAGACTTCGCTGTATCTCTAATTTCCCCTGTGGATCAGCTCTGGCCCCAAGTTTGCATGCTTTCTGGAAGAAAACATATTAATTGGACTCATCTTTCTTTGAGGGCAGTTTGGGGACCATCTGTGGTTGCTCCGTCATTTCCCCCTGGGAGTCTCACCTCCCACTCCAAGCAGCTTATCAAAGATTTCTTTTCTCTCCCAGAGAAAGGTTTTGGCACATACCATTTTTCTTCATTTTGGTTAATTGCTGGTGATGATTAAGTGCTCCTTGTGGATTGATGTCTGGGACAGCCTCCTGGCTAGACGTTCCTGAATTTGGCTGTGATCTCAGACTGCTTGCAGTGAAACCATCCTTTCTCCACCTCTGTCTGTCTTCTCCCCTGCGCTGGTCCCACCACACGGTCAGTGCCTGCGTGGGAGAGAGCAGTGCTGTGCACGTAGTAGGTGCTTCGTAAAGACTTGAACTGTCATATCCATTGTTCTCTTCTAGTTTTTCCTTCCTGTTGCTTTTCCAAGGGAGTCAGTGTAGAGTAGGGTAGCAAAACAAAACAAGACAATGGGCTTTAGAATCTGAAGGCCAATTTCGAATCCCAGTCCTAGCCATTTCCTCCCTAAGTCTTAGCTTCCTCAACTGTTTTTTTCTAAGGCAACTGTATTATGGCCCAAACTCACCCCCCTCTCGTTGATTCTATATGCCACATATCTCTGGAGTCTTATCTACTTTCCCAAACCCTGTGGGTACCCTCTCACCTGTGCAGGCTGCCCTTCTTTCTTCTAGAGACATGGAAAAGAGCCCCTAAATTGTTCTCACTACCTGTTTTCACCTTCCTCTACCAGAGTCAGCTTTCTAAAGGGCACATCTGACTTTGTCAGTCTCATGCTTCAAATTCTTCAATGGATACTCATAACTCAAACAGTCTAGTTATGTGATTTTGGACAAGTTCCTTAACCTTTCTATGCCTCGGTTTCCTCTTCTGAAGCTGGGATACTGATACCCACCCCTAACAGATACCATTTATGAAGACGCTATGAGACAGCAGTTGGGGACCATTTAGCACAGTGCCTGGAATGTGGGAGATTCTCAGTAAAGGATTCCCGAGTGAGTAAATCAATGAATGATTAACTGTGGTATCAGTAGTTTTTAGCAACAGCCACTTTCAGGGATTGGACTCAGGAGAAGTGGGCTTTCCTCTGTCTCCATATATATTATGTCCTCTTTTTTTGTGGAATTTCCTGAATGAGGATGTCACTAGTGAACCTCATTCTCTCCTTTCTGTAAGGGGAGGAACCAGCCTCCTGGTTCCAGGGGAGGGAGGCTCAATTTCCATTCTCCTTGTTTGGCTCTAGTGTGTCCTCATTCCACTTGGTCACAGAAAACACAGGAATATGTAATATATCCAGAAGCCTGCCAAGGGGAGGAATTATGCTGGGATAAGTGTGGAGAGTGCATTTCCTGTCTCTTGTTGTAAAAAGGACTTCCCTTCTTTCCATTGGACTGTTGGTGCTTTTTACAGAATCAGACTCACCCAAAGCCACATAGCAGGGAAGGAGCACCCCCAGGAAACAGATGATATGTTATCTGATAAGTCCTATTCTTTGAACCCCTAAAGGAAACTGGTACCCTTTGGAACTCAAAGGAGGAAAACAGGCTTTGGCTGATAGAGCATCATTCTTTCTAGGAACACTTGCCACCCACCTCATTCATCCTTCAGATATCTCTGTGAGTGAGGGAGGGAAAGTTATTGTCAACACATTTTAAAGACGTGGCAGTAGAGGCATGGAAATATTCATGTCTTTCCCAAGTTTGTGTGGTCAGTAGTAGACTTTGAAATAGATGAAACATCTCATGACTCTTGAACCACTGCCTTTTCCCAAGACCAGCCATTCTGTGGGCTGAAAATAGGGGATTGTGAGACTCAGCAGCCCCCTCCCCACCCAACACACACACACTAAGCCTCCATCACATGCAGAAAGAAGAGGTTGTCTCCAGATCCTGGTGGGTTCCGTGTCTTTTACGGAACCCGGGTGAGATCTGTAGGTGTTTCCTCTGCCCATCTTTCACTGAATGGCTGTTTTGTGGGCATTGTCTAGAAAAACTTTTCTGGAGGTAGCCAGAAAGATGTTCAATGCTCTGTAATATGTCGAGAGCCCAGTGGAGGAATCTCAGGCAATCAGGAAACCGTGCAGAAGGTGGTTGATCACTTAGTTTGCTGTTGTTGTCTGTAGTCCAGCCCCGGCCCTCAGAAGTAGGATTCAAAGGAACAGGAGCTCATCTAGGCCCCTCACTTAGATTATACTTTTAAATAGGCCCTCACAGGAAATGAAGCCTTTACTGTGTGCTAGCAGAGAAAGATTTTTATTTTGTTTTGTTTTTCTTTTTCCAAAGGATGTTTTGAAGGTTGCTATTAAACTTGTGGTTGAAAGATAATGAACTTAGGTATCACTTTTGGTCTCTGCAGCCAAATATACCACCACCCAAATATAAATATTGGTTCTTTTGCAGCCAGTATCTGCAGAACAGTAAGCGAAAGAGCCGGCCTGTGAGTGTAAAAACATTTGAAGATATCCCGTTGGAAGAACCAGAAGTAAAAGTAATCCCAGATGTAAGTACATCTTTTAAAAATAGTCTTAAAAATAACACAAAGGATGAAATATTAGCTAGATAAATATTAGCCTAAGCATTAGAGTCTTGGAGCCTCATTATAAAGGTATGTGTCTTAGGGTCATTATGGAGATGAAACTGATCAGTACCCCCCACCATTGGATTTTCCATAAGGACAGCCCCTAGTCCAAGGTTCTAGATAGCCTAGGCTCATGCCCAGTTCCACTCAAGTGTAAATAGTATCACTGTGAAAAGTGGGATGGCATTAGGTCTCCTCAGCTTCTGCTTCTTGAATTCTTTTCTTCCAGGCCTGAGTTTACTACTAGGAAGCGGTTGTTTCTTCTTGTAGCTGGTCCATTTTCTGGCTATGATATCTTTACCTCCCCCTGGGGAACACTGGAGCATATTGTCTGATAAAGTTAAGAAATGAGTTAAGAAATGAGTTAAGAAATCGATTTAATTAAGTAGTTGGTCAGTGTGCACACTCAATCAACTGTACCATCTCCTTGTCTCTTAAAAAGGACAACCAGACGGACAGTGGTATGGTCCTTGCATCAGAAGAGCTGAAAACCTTGGAAGACAGAACCAAATTAGCTCCATCTTTTAGGTAAGGCTCAGTCAAATAGAAAAGACAAATCTCAACAGGAATTTTTAGAAGGAACTTAGGACTTTCAATGTAGATGCAGTTTTCCCTTTTTGTGTCTTTGTTGGTTAGGCAAATTTGCATCAACTCAACTAATAAAGAACTGAAACTAATCAAACAAATAATTACATGCCACATTTGAAAAAGAATCTGAAATTAATTAGGGGATTTGGTCAGTTTTTATAGAGAATTTATGAATACCGGGGAATTTTTATATTTATGTAGTACCAGCTAAGTAACAAAGGTCATTGGAGGTAATCCCTTAAATTGAGATGATTAAAATCTTTGTGGACTCTGAAGAATTTTCAAACCTGTACCTAAATGAGTGCATCTGTCTTTAGAAGTGTGATGCATAAATAAGCCAATATCTATTTGTTTGAGATACTTAAACATTATTGGCTGAATTATTTGGCTTATTATTATCATTGGCTTAATTGTGGAAAAAATATTAAATTTGGTTTTTAATATGATTTCCCCCATGTGGTTCTGTAGGAATTTATAGTTGTTTTTGAATAGATGTACCTGTTTTTAACCTACTACATAAATGAAAATCTCTATAAAAATGCTAAGATAAAGAGCAGTAATTTATTTGCTAGTGAACTCACTCTAGGTGAGAACTGAAGATTTTGATGTACTTATAACCTAAACATTATATAAAATGGGAACACCCATGGGTTATTGAGGGACGTTCACATAAAGAAAAGGTGAATTAAAATGAGCCATTGTGCAATTGTATTATTTGCTTTAGGCCCAGGGTGAGAACTTGTTAGAGCCAATGACATGTTTCATTCATTGATTTAAAATATATTTATTGAGCAGTGGCTATGTGCCCGGTACCATGCCATTGTTTGAGATACTAAACTCAATTTCTTGAGGTTGAATTTAAAGAAAAATTGTATTTCTAGTTATTTGAAATATCTTTTAAACCATAAATGAACACAGAGTTAATGAAATCCTTTTTGTAGTTTTTAACACGAATAATTTGGTAAAACATGTATTAAGGGGAAAACCCCACACCTCAGAATGGCTTGAGAAAAATGTAAATCCTGATGTTTTTAGATCAGCACAGCCTACACTTTTAGGCTTTGACATGATTATGGTCTGTCACGATTCCATGCCGTTGAAAACATTCTCTAGTTGCTGCTGAGTGACCCAGGCTGTCAGTCCTTCCAAAGAATGTGGTTTTGATGAGTAAAAAGCAGTTTTTGACAGTCTGGCTTGATTGCACACACATGCTTCAAGTTATTGAAGTTTAAATTTGCTCAAGAACTTTATTAACACTTTACATAGGCCTTGTAATCCTTAATCAACACTGCGAGGAAAGCAGAAATCGACTCTCAGAACATCCCAATTTCCTTTTACATGGTCAAAGAGTCCCCTTGGCTCCTATCATTGTATACAAACCTATCAATCTTCAACGCCATAAAAATGCTCCATTGGTTGGAGCCTTTGCATCACTCAGGAGAACTGCCTTTCATCTCGTCACAGGTTTGAAAGACTTGGACCTGAATAAGAGGACTTATCTGAAACTACTAGCTCATGCTAGTACCTGAAAATAGACATTGTCTGAGTAAACCTGATACGTTGATTAACAAGTGGGGGAGATAGGGGCTGGTGTCTCCAGGGAGATTACAGCCCACACGGGGTCGGGAACAAGGTTAGGGTAAAACGGGAAAGAACTGTCTTCTTTCCACCAACTCATTCGGTTGTCATTTCTTCCACAGTGGACTGATGCCCAGCAAAAGCAAGGAGTCTGTGGCATCCGAAGGCTCTAACCAAACAAGTGGCTACCAGTCTGGGTATCACTCCGATGACACAGACACCACTGTGTACTCCAGCGAGGAAGCTGAACTGTTAAAGCTGGTGGAGATTGGACCACCAGCTAGCAGTACGGCCCAGATTCTCCAGCCTGACTCTGGGCCCACATTGAGCTCTCCTCCTGTTTAAAAGGAGGCACCCACGTCCCCCACTCCTGGAAATCACATGAGAGGTGCTGCTCAGATTGTCAAGTGTTGTTCTTTCCATCACTAGGAAGTAGCCACATTTGATTTTCATTTCAAAAAAAAAAAAGGACCTCAGACTGCAGGGAGCCAGTCCAGTAGGCATTTCCTGAGAAGATGTTTGTGACTCAAGAATGTGTTTGTGTTTTCTCCCGGTGTTGACCTTCTGTTTATGCATTTAGAAAGCATGTATGATGCCCCTTACTGTGGGTCTCCCCATGGGTTCTAACAAAAGAAGTTCAAGGAATGGCTGCATCCTCTGTGAAGTGGCAGCACCTGGGGAGTTGACACCTCTCTGTAAAACCAGAAGATAAACCAAGCAGTGCAAGTGCTTTAGGTGTTGAAGATGGGAAAGACCTTTAGGGCTGAGTCCATCCAAGAAGCTTTGTTCAGGATACGGGTTCTGAGCCAAGTCGTACGTGTGGGGTTTGGATTGACAGAAAGGAAGATGTCGGTTTGCTTTGAGAGTGTCCTGGAGCCTGCAGATGCATTGTGTTGGCTCTGGTGGAGGTGGGCCTGGGGTCTGTTAGGAAAGGTAAAGGCTTCAGATGAGGTTACTGGTTTAGAAGATTTCGTGCTCTTCCCAGTTGGGCTAAATGAGAGCTCCTTGAGCTGTTTCCGACTCCTGATGAGAGTTCCTTCCGGACTCTTACGTGTCTCTTGGCCAAGCCCCAGGAAGGAAATGATGCAGCTCTGGCTCCTTGTCTCCCAGGCCGATCCTTTATTCAGAACACCATAAAGAATGGACATTCAGACAGAGACTCCCTGTCGTGTTGAAGAGTTCTGACTGCATAAACCAGCTTCTGGTTTCTTCTGGATGAATACCCACATATCTGTCCCGATGTGATATATGTCTGAGCCTGAATGCAGTAGGTTCCGTATCAAGCTGTGGTGTCAAAGTTTCAGAAAGGATTTTACTCTTTTGTTCCTTCTCCCCTCCCTGAGCTCGGCCCCTTTCACCCCAATCAGTCAGTATTTTAGCAATTTGGCCTCTGCACTCTAGTAAGAACTGATTTGGTTTGTTCACTCTCTGAATGACTGACTATTAGCCAGATTTCAAAATTATTTTATAGCCAAAGTTTTAACAACATCTATTGTATTATTTAGAATTTTAACATGTCAAGCTATTTCTACTGGTTTCTGCCCTTGTATTTTTCATTTGGTACCATAGTGTGAGATGCTGGGAACCATGACTGTAAAACATGCTATGGCACATATATTTATAGTCTGTTTATGTAGAAACAAATGTAATATATTAAAACCTTATATTATATATGATGAACTTTGTACTATTCACATTTTATACCAGTATTATGTAGCATAACAAAGGCCATAATGCTTTCAGCAATTGATGCCATTTTATTAAAAAAAAAAATTGAAAAAACTTAAATGAGTCCCTTTGCAAGTTTGCATTTCTGTTCTTAACATTTCTCTCACTCCTAAAGTGGAGGAGGGGGAATCAGACAAATTGCCATGTGGTTTTTCATTCTTAATTGTTTCCTTCTTCTTATAAAGGATATTTTTATAAGGTAGTTTATACTTTTTAAACCAGTACATGTATGCTTAGTAAAAAAAAAAAAAAATACAATGCTATAATATTGCATGACTATTTTGAGACAAAGTACTTCTGGGTTGAGGTGTAGTTGCTTCTCCCCTTCTTTTTTGCTACACAAATAATTCATGCATGTGTGAACTCTCATTATATTCTGAGCACTTTTGAGATTCTTAAAACGTGGACGGAGAGATAAAAGTACTCTAACAGTATTTGTGCCTGTTACTATTGCCAACCATGAAAATCAGAGGGTGAGAGATCCCCAGACAGGGGGCCAGACCCAGGCACCCCAGGGAAGTGTGAAGCGTACTTGTAGTTCTCAATGAGGACTCTATACTTACAGCGTCAGAGGTCAGACCCAACATTGCCATTTTGAGTGATTACTTTTACCTGAATTCAGTGATTACTAAAAATCATTGGCACCCATGAGTGGCCCTAATCTTTGTGGCATTTTTTTATACAAGTGTTGCAATATTTATACAGTCAAATATACATTTAAAAAAAAAGTTTTTATTTACTTATTTATTTTAGAGCTTGTGAGTGGGGGAGAGGAAGGGAGGGAGAGAGAGAATCTCCATGCTGAGTGCGGAGTCCAAAATGGGGTCTGATCCCATGACCCCAAGATCATGACCTGAGCCAAAATCAAGAGTCAGATGCTCAACTAACTAAGCCACCCCAGTACCCCTCAAATGTACCTATCATTTTTGATGGCTTATGGGTTTTTCAATCTTGGTGCAGAAGGTTGTCTCGGTTCTAAAATAAGTTCTAAATGTTCTTCTTATACTACAATGAAATCTATATGGAATGAGGTAGGAATCTGGCTTCGTTTTCTTCAACCAGTTGTCGATCACAGCAGTACTCTTGATTAAATATACCTCTTTGCCTCCATGGCTGGGGAAATGCGCATTGCACTATTTTCAAGCCCTATCATCTCATTGAGCCATTCTGTACAATTTTATGGTGGAGAGGAGGGTTGCCATGAGCGTGTGTGATTCCTGGGACAGTGATTACAGATGTGGGCTATTGGCCAGGATTAGTGGGTTAGGGTCTCTGACAGACGTTACACTATCTGTCAGGCCTGAACTTGTCTTTTCCTGTTATGATGATGGCATCCAGTAAATGAATGGAAGAAGAGACCAGGACACCCTCATAGAAAAACAGAATTTTCTTCAGTTTAGGAAAAAGAGATTTTGTTTCTCATAAGCGCCCCTTGGCGCTGTCTCCGATGCTGAGAATTTGGATTCAGCTGAAACTTCACACTTTATAAAGAAATGCTTTCAGCACCTCAGGCAGAATGATTAGGAGGTGAGGTTTGGCTCTCTCCTTCCTCTCTCTTCTGTCTTCCATGCTCCTTGTTCTTAGCTCCTTTTCTCTCTTCATTTGCCCTTGAATTGAAGAGAACTTTGTGGCTTTTGAAAGCGCTTCCTGCATGCTCTTATTTTCAGAGCCTTAACTGGAGACATTTGGTTTGTTTTAGGTGTGGCCACCCCCTCCCCCTGGCTCCTGGCCTCCCTCCTTCTCTCCCTTTACTTGCTTTGTTCTTCTGCCTCCTTTCAAACTGCTCTGGCCCTTCACCTTCCATTACTCTATACCACTAACTTTCCTCTGTCCCGCACCCTCTGACCCTGCCCACTGCAGCCTTCCTCCTCCATCATCACAGGACAGAGAGAGCTGTGGGGGGGATTTAAGCTCATTACCCCACTAAGTTTTCTTAACAGGGCACATTCTTTTGTCCTCTTCAATGAAAGAAAAGTAGAAAAGTGAAAATCTCAAACCCACAACTTTGTAGTTAACCCTATTTTCCAATGTCCCCCCTAGCATGTTTTTCTACCTCTCACTCACACATTAACCTCCAAGATGATAAAATGTAGGCAAACAGGAGGCTAAAGCTTTTGAGACACTCGTTTCCATATACACCTTTGCACACTTGCATGCTCTTTCCCTGTAGGGGCAGTAGGCATAACATGACTACTTTACATAACAGGCTTTCTCAGGTCTGTAGTGGCTTATAAAGCAAGATGAGGTTCTGATAGTGCTCCAGAATTCCAAGTTGGCAGGTATAGTATGGCAACACAGAAGGAACCTTTGGTTTTATTGTAAATAACATTGTGTTGTCCTTTATACTACTGATCTACATTATAAACTTTTCCAGAGGATGAAAACCCGAAGTGCAGAAAGAATAAATTCCATCATTGTTACTAGTTTTACTAGGAATTCTTCAGTAGGGATTATTTTATATAATGACTTCTTGGGTATTTCAGAATATTATCAGGTACCATGCAACATTTCATAAGTACATCTGTTTCACAGATCAAAGTGTACTCCTGTATAAATTACCCTGGCACCTTTTAAGTAGCCTGTGCTTGAAGTTGGTTGAAGGGAACTTTCTTTATTCAATCATTGTGAATAGATCAGGGTATATTGCTGTGCATTTTCCCCCTCTCTCCTATGTAGTGTGGTTGGCAAATTGCTCTGAGGATATGTCATGAAGAGAGAAAAAAAGATCCCCATTCTTCTCTTATCATCTTTATTCATCAGTGAATTTCAGTTTTCATTCTTGAAGTCATTTGTACCTGAGGATGTCATGCCAGAAAACATTCCTGAGTCCGATCTTACAGAATTAGTTAGTAATGTAAACTTTAAGTGCCAGTGGGTATTAATTTTGGATGACATGTATCTGAGAGCAAGCTTAATTGTAACAGAATAGAATTTTTAGATAAATATATATTATGGATTTAGCTTTCAACTTGTTTCTGTATTTCATGGTGATACTTGTTTCAAGTAGCTCTGCGGTCCCTCACACCGGAGTAGCTAGAAGAGCAGAGAACTAACCTTGATCATCTACTCTGTGCCAGGCATTGAGCTATGCACTCCTCACCGAATCCTTGCCATAGACCCTTGTATTAGGTGCTGTTATCACCATGTCACAGTTGAAGATGAGCAGTTAAGATTTGAAGCCCAGCAGGTAAGGTCATGCCAGGATTAAATCCAGTCTACTTTCACCTTGGGGACACGTTCATAATTGAGATAGGAACCAGGATGGAATTTTCTGCCTTGATGGAAGACAGTGAGCTGACTCATCCTCTGATAAATCAAATAACCAAATGAGAGGTACATATTAGGGTGGCCCAGTACCTTTTTGTGTCTTAGTTAATATGTGTTGGCTCCAGTATTCTCATCTTTCAGGCAGCTTTATCTATAAGATAAATCCACTGGACAATGGCTAAACATAAAACTTAATGTTGTAATAAACATCTAACTGCCAGCAGAAAGACTGTGTGTTATTTACTAGCTATATGGTCTTGGGTGAGTTACTTAACCTCTTTAGTCTTGCTTTTCTCATCTGGATGAGAATTAAAAGAGATGTGTGAAAAGTACCTGCTATACTACCAGATAGGCAGAAAGCCTTCAATAAAGGTTAGTCATTATTATATTCTTCTTTTTTTTTTTAAAGATTTTATTTATTTGACAGAGAGATCACAAGTAGGCAGAGGCAAACAGAGAGAGAGAGAGAGAGAGAGAGGAGGAAACAGGCTCCCTGCCTAGCAGAGAGCCTGATGTGGGACTCGATCCCAGGACCCTGAGATCATGACCTGAGCTGAAGGCAGAGGCTTAATCCACTGATCCACCCAGGCAGCCCCAGTCATTATTATATTCTTATGATGATGTTGGTGTTAGGTAAGTTAGACAGATTTACAACTTGTTGAATGACATTTCTCAAAGATTTTAAATTTACTATTGACAAACTGGATGCAGGTCCAATGGAACTTACTGATCATCCTGGTGCTTTAGATTTTAAAACTCGCATAAAGACTCTCATAGCATAAGGAACAAATTGCTAGTTGCCATGTACCTCGGGAGACCCTTATGTGCTAAGAGTCAGGATTTAGACAGACCTCACTGGTTAGAATTCAAAGGCTGAGTTGAATAAATCAATTTGATTTTTCTGCACAATTTTGGGATGAGGCATTGTGGCTGAGCAATAGCTTTAAATTGGTTAATAAGGATCATTTTGCCAAAATCAGTTAGACAATGACTGATTTGCTAAAAATCAGTTTTCCCAATGATTAACTCACCAAGTGAAATGTACCAATAAATACAAATCTTTAAGTATTGTTTATAAAGTTTAGAACAATTTGTATGGAAGATTTGTATAGATGATTTCTTTGAAGTTGTAACAGACTGGTTTTTTTACTCTGTCTTTGTAACAATTTTATAGAATCCTCAACTTTTCAAAAGTTAATGGACAGAGGCTTAAATTTTCCATGAATATTTTTATTGTTTTCAAGGATTCATCCATATTTATCAACTACAGCATAAGATTATATTATATATTGCCATTAATTTGAAAATTCTGTGAAGGGATCTGAGCTAATCACATCAACATGAAATGATGAACTTTTCTTACCAATTGCTAGAAATGCCAGATTTAGGCTTATATGCCAGTTGAGGCATTGTTGAAATGACATTCAAAAGGAGCTAGAAGAATTCAAAAGTGGCTGGCACAGTTCCATTATATTGAGAATGTGAGCTCCATCAAGACAGACATTTTTGTCTCTTTGGTTCACTGCTTTATCTCTAGCACCTACAACAGTGCCTGACAATAGTAGGTTCACTATTTGGAATGCAACAATAAAATCAGTCATTTGGTAAATAGAATTTCAGTCAATTGGCTCTTAATGAATTGAGTTTTGGGCTTTTGGCTGCTCTGCTAGGCACCAGCAGGGGCCAAAAAATGTAGGGTTTTTTGTTGACTGTGTTTTCAGCGTATGTTGGGGTTTCCAAAGAGGTGAGGAAATTTTTAAGCTGCGAAACCAAGTAAACATGTAGATACCAAA